CCGACGCCGTCATGTCGCTCAGCATCAAGCCCAAGCGCTCCAGCGACGCCGACGCCTTCTCCAAGGCCATGAACCGCTTCATGCGTGAGGATCCCACTTTCCGTCTCCACGTCGACGAGGAGTCCGAGGAGACCATCATCAGCGGCATGGGTGAGTTGCATCTCGAGATTTACGTCGAGCGTCTCCGCCGTGAGTACAAGGTCGAGTGCGAGACCGGCCAGCCCCGCGTCTCTTACCGCGAGACCATCACCCAGAAGGCCGAGTTCGACTACCTTCTCAAGCGCCAGTCCGGCGGTCCCGGTGATTACGCCCGCGTCGTCGGCTGGATCGAGCCCAACCCCACCGAGGGCGAGGACAACCACTTCGAGTCGCGCGTCGTCGGCGGCACCATTCCCGACAAGTACATCTCGGCTTGTCAAAAGGGTTTCCAGGAGGCCTGCATCAAGGGTCCCCTGCTCGGCCACAAGGTCATCGGCTCCTCCATGGTCGTCACCGACGGTGCCACCCACGTTACCGATTCGTCCGATTACGCCTTCAACCTCGCCGCCCAGATGGCCTTCGGCAAGGCCTTCGCCGCCGCCGGCGGCCAGGTGCTCGAGCCCCTCATGAAGACCACCATCTCGGCCCCCGCCGAGTTCCAGGGTAACATCCTCATGCTGATGAACAAGCGCGGCACCATTGTCGACACCGAGGTCGGTGCTGACGAGTTCACCATGGTCGCTGACTGCTCCCTGAACGCCATGTTCGGCTTCTCAACCCACTTGCGCGCTGCTACCCAGGGCAAGGGCGAGTTCAGCATGGAGTTCAGCCATTACGCTCCTGCGCCGCCTCACCTCCAGAAGGAGTTAGTGCAAAAGTACCAGAAGGAGCTCGAGGCTAAGCGTACCAAGTAAACTAAGCTGTATATCAAGTTTTTTTTGGTTAGGCGTTGTTTTCGGCTTGGAAAAGCTTTGTGTTGCCCGCTCGCCCTTGGGCGCCATGCTCCTTCGTTCTTCTTCGGCCGCTGAAGCTCGGATGAAAGTCGATTCCGAGCGCCGTCTATTCACCCGGAAGGAAGCCCTCAGATTGGATGGTTGGAGTGAAGACCCTACCTATCATCCTAGACTTCTATCTGGGCATACGGGCCATGCCTGCCTCCTCGTCCAAAATATAAACGTCGGAGGGAAGGATATAAAAGGGATATAGACATCTTGATGGATGATGGGTTGATGATAGAAAGGCATAATGATAGCAAAGCTATGTTGGCCTAATTGTAACTCTATAGATCACGGCAGCGCAGCGGTTCTCTCTTTCATGGTCTATACACAAATGCGTGTTTGTACAGTTACATAGATCTGTATTTTATGTGTGATGATATAAATGGCAATACGTACATGTGTCGGAAGGGTTCTAAAATTCTTGGTTTCATATTTTTGGGTTGGTAGAACAAAAAGCGAACATAATCTCTTCTCTCCATTTCTCGACGGAAACAAAACACTCTGTGAAGATAGATAGATGGTGGACGTCTCTGACGAAATACAACGGCGGTGTCCTTGTTCGGTTGATAACCTTTTGGGCAAGGATACCACGAGTATAACTTCCACAGCCAGCTGGTACCCGCAGCTCGCGGTCTGACGGAAGCTCTTGTGTGAATCACGTCATCAACACGGCAATTGTAGCTATCGTAGGTATTAACAACAATCATTTTTCGACTTCCTCCCTCTATTATGTACAAGGTGTATAGCGGGAGGAAATCGTTCTCATGTAAATGTCATATAGTACATCATCTAACATCATTTTTTGTTCTTGAGCCGGATACCTAGTAATTTTCAATATCATGACTCATAGCAAGGGCAGGCTGTCTTGGACAGCCTGCCATCCAATCCCGCTTCCCACCTAGAGACGGCGGAGGATATCCTGCACAACCTCCTCAGTCTTAGCCTTACCGCCAAGATCAGGGCTAAGCAGCTTGCCCTCCTCAAGGTTGGCATCAACAGCAGCGTAGATCTTGGCCGCCGCCTCCTCCTCGTTAAGGAACTCGAGCATGAGCGCAGCAGAGCGAAGGGTAGCGATAGGGTTGGCGATGTTCTGGCCCTGAATATCGGGCGCGGAGCCGTGGCAGGGCTCACCAATGGCGAAGCCCTCACCAACGTTGGCAGAGGGGACGAGACCGAGCGAGCCGACGAGGGCGGCGGCGCCGTCAGAAAGGATGTCGCCGTACAGGTTGGGCGCGACGATGACGTCGTAGGCCTCGGGCTGGCGGAAGAGCTTGTACACCATCGAGTCGACGATCTGCTCCTCGACGGCGACGGAAGTGAAGCGGCCGGCAGCGAGGGCCTCGCGGGCGGTGGAGCGGAAGAGGCCGTCGGTCTGGGACAAGACGTTGGACTTGTGGGTGACGGTCACGAGGGGGCCCTTGTGGATTGAGGGGGAACCGCTCTCGCGGATCTTTTGGCGGCGCAAGGCGATCTCACCCGCGATGGTGGCGATGCGCGAAGACGCGCGCTGCGAGATGCGCTTGATGGCCTCGGCCACCTTGCCCTCGGGCGTGTCGTACGTCTTCTCCTCCTTGACGTACAGGTCCTCCGTGTTCTCGCGCACGATCACCATGTCGATGGGCTTGACGCCGGGGCCCCGGACCGACTTGACGGGCCGCACGTTGGCGTACAGGTCGAGCTTCTTGCGCAGAGCGACGATGGGGGAGGAGTAGCCCTTGACGGCCTTGGTGGGCGAGCTGACGGCGCCGAAGAGCGCGCCGTCGCACTCGGACTTGAGGATCGAGACGGTCTCGTCGGGCAGGGCGTTGCCCGTCTGCTCGAAGGTTTCCCAGCCGGCCTTAAGGTCGATGAACTCGAACTTCAGACCGAGAGAGGCCGGGAGTGCCTCGAGGATGCGTCGGCCGGCGGGAATGACTTCCTTGCCGATGCCATCACCGGGGATGAGACCTGTTGGCGGTGGAAAGCGGGGTGGTTAGCAGGGCGTTTCTTAGCAGCATTGGGCATTGGATGAAGGCATTGGGAGAGATGAAAGGGATGGGGAGGTTGCTCACCAATCTTGAGAGTCCTGGCCGCCATTTTTTCTGCTTCAATCGACTTGTAGAGGAGAAAAAGGAAAAGTCTGGAGGAGGGGAAATGCAGATGGAGGAAAAGACAAACTACCGCGATCGGATAGCTCCAAAAAAAAAGGCGCCATAGTGACTAATGACATGTTGAAAGCCGGGACTAGCCTGTTTGGGAAGTAAACCTGCAGCATTCTCCAGATTTATTGATCGCTGCGGGCTGTCCCGCAATTTTTCCAGGATGGCCTGTCAGGGTGCATCTCTGGCCTCGGAGACGGAGAATGACAAACCAACGACAGAGATGACAATACTCGGAGTATCTCCCCAAGAGATGTAATCTTGAAATCGTGGAGAGAGCAGTCCATATATGGCTCTCGGCATCATCAACGCTGCCCATCTTCACGTGTTTCAGTCAACCATCCAGGTCTACAGGGAGTAATGTTAACGTAGCATGATTTCCACGTGCGAACAGGTGGACGGGACGCCGGCCGTTTTGAGATTTGGGTGTCATGATGGAAGTTCAACTCCGTTGTTTATTGCGCCAGGGGTAAACCCAATGCGAAACACTTGCCACTTGAAACATCGTGGGATCGGGTTGAAGGGCGCCGAGCGTTTGACACGGAGAGCTATCCGCCGGCCACATACAGGATGTATGATCCAGCGAGGTGTGGATGTGTGTTTGTGTCCTGTGTCAAGCCTGCATTATGATGAACATCGAGGCTTGTACGACAACCGACTGGAGGCAGCCAGGCAGAAGAGAAGTGGAAGGCTGACATGTGTGCCCCTGAAACGGATTGTCCCAGTCACAAACTCACGACCACCAACACTAGCTAGCACTAACAACCAAAAGCTCTGTTAGACTGTTTGTGATAAGCCAATGGCTTCATGCAAGAGCCTAGGCCAGCACTCAGCCTTCAGCTTCTGTGGTACCTCGTCGTGAACGTGCCAGTCACTTGTAAGAGTTTTCTTCTCCATCACGATAGTCTCAATGGCAATGTCTGGAAATAGTCTCGGATTGGTTGGATCGGCCGCCTGGGCAGTGGCCATAACTGGATCCCTATTTCGATCCCAAAGACTCAGCAAAAAAGTCAAGGCCCAAACAGAAGGCGATCCTGCCACGCTGGTGCATCCGAAAGCTCGTACTGTTGACGGGACAGAAACTCCCTGCCTGGACCTGCAGCGACGTGCACTTGCCAGCATCAGAAGACCCAGCGCCACATGCGCTATTGCAGCACGACTCCGCTCCCCTGAACTAGCCGTACTTTTTTAAAACATTTGCTCATTAAACGCGCCCGTCACTTATAAACTCTCGACTGCCCGGTGGTACCACTTAAATCCGGGGAACTTGCGATATTTGTCTCTTTCTCTGACTTTACCCTTCATCGTTCTGTTCAGTGTTCTTCAACATCCACCTATAACCTTCCAAGTGTCGCGCACACTCCCGCAACCTTTGCGCAACCATCGCGTCACGTTCTACGGGCATCCCTAACAAACAGCATTTTCCCGATTTCCCGTCATAGCGTTCGCCAGCTCCACGCGCGTATCGCTTCCCTCGACTGTCCCTGTCTCTCGGGTCAGGATCGTAGCTCCTCATTATTAGTGACGTGGGGAAGCCGCTTCGAGTCTGTAACAACACGACGACCCCGTGCGCAGGGTCCAGGGGCTTAAAGGAGGCACGCCCGTTTGCCCCGATTCCTCCTTCCCGACGCGACCACGATCTTCGACTTCCTTTGAACAACGAACAATCAGATTCCCCTCTCCGAGTCGAGTCGGACTGCCGGCTACAAAACCACAGAAACCAACCGCTCCTGCCACCTTGCCACAACCAACACCTCGTGGCCCGACGCTTCTCAACTTCTCCGTTAGGTCTTGCGAGCTCTTGAAAGTCAGCAGCCATGAGCGCGGTTAAGAACCTTCGGGCTATGTTCGAGCAGAAGGGGGAGACGAGCCCTCCGGATCGTGGGAGGTCACCGGCTATCTCGCCATGTAAGCAGTCTTCCGTTCCGCCATTTTCTACTTACAATTGTCGCCATTCCCACCACCTGTTTGCCTCTTCTTCAACTGCACCTATCATCTTGGGTCTTGTCATCAACCACAACATCAAACATCTACGCATGGACTGAACTGATAGCTAACGCCACCGTCAACCTCTAGCTGAGTCTCCTAGGCCTCTGAACAAAATCAAAACGAGCTTCATCGCGGTCGAGAAAGGCGGAAGAGTCGGGCTTCAACCAGCAGGCAGCAACGACTCCGAGACACCCACACAACGAACTCCAGACGGCCTTGGCGACATCGCAAGCCCTCTTGTTTCATCAGAGAAGCCCAATGCCGTTGACCAGATTATGGAAAAAGCACCAGCAGCGGCGAGTCCTGAGGCGAGCCGTATACCGACCGAGTCTCCAGAAGCGAACCGAAATGCTCAAAATCCAACTGACTCTCCTCAAAAACAACAAGCGCAGAATGTAGAATCTTCAGGTAGCGCACCGGCAGAACCCAAGAGGTTGGAGATAGATGGGGCTACTGGCACGTCTACTACGGACAGTGACTCGAAGTCACCAGAGAAGACGAAGGCACCCAATGGAGCCGGGGCTGGCAAAGACAAAGAGACAGATCCCAGCAAGCCGGCGGCTCGGACCGTCCCGAAGACAACAACAAAGTCGAACCTACCACCTCTTTCAACGTCTGCGGCCAACAAGACAGCAGCTAAGCCTGCAAAATCCCCCATCACTGCCCAAACGCCCAAGGCGAGAAGCCCTACAACTGCATCCAGTCAGACTCCGGCCAAGACCGCTACCCCGAAGCCTGCGGCAAAGACCACGAAGTCTCTCGGTTCCTCGCTAAACAAAAAGCCAGCATCCTTGGCCCCATCGCCCGTCATCACCGGGAGCTCTAAGCCCAAGGCCAAGTCACCTACGCGCCCAGTGACTCTCCCAGAACGCCTTACCACTCATACGGCTGCTTCTGGTTCCAAGCTCGGCAATGCGCGCGGCCAGTCGCAGACTCGCGAGCGTGGTCTTACCCCGGCTAGCCGCTCCTCTAGCAGAGCGAGAGTGCCAACCGCCACCACGTCGGCTCCCAAGACGGCTACCTCGAACCTTAAGAGACAAAACTCGACCAACAACCGTCCTCGGCCCAGTCTAGGTGTGCCTGTGAAGCAGACTGCGAAGGATCATCCGCCAACGAAAAAGGAGAAGGAAGTGGACGAGGGATTTTTGGCACGCATGATGCGTCCAACCGCGGCATCCGCCTCTAAGACCGCCGAGAAGGTTGTCACGTCTCCACCCAGGAGGTCTTCGGCTACCCCAGGACCTGCCGCGAAGAGAAGTCTCAGCAAGCCACGGACTAAGAAGCCTACTACCAAATCGGCAGCACCATCTGCGGCTACGACCCCGAAACAGTCTCGTGCTAGCTCGGTCGCGGCCAAGGTTGAACAGGTTGCCACGGCAGAGGAAGCCGTCGAAGCTGCGAAGGCAACAGACGAAGAGGTGCCACTCCCCACCGTGACTGAGACTCCTCAAGAAGTAGCTCAGCCGGTAGAGGAAGCCACAGAAACCACCCAGGAGGTCTCGGCACCACCCTCGGAGGCGGAGGCTGTCGCTGCTCCTCAAACCCCCACCTCTGACGTCCATGATGTTAAGGAAGAGACATCAGCTCAGGAAACTGAAGCTGCCACCTCGCCCTCTGCCGAAGTTGCTGATGCCGCCTATGCTGACATCCAGGAGAAGGAAGAGGAGAAGTCTGCCAGCACTCCGGAACCTAAGCATACTTCTGATTCGTAAACGGAAGCCAGAAATGGTGGATATGATCGCTTTTTGGCCTGTAGAGTCTTTTAATCACCTTCTATTGCTTGTTCGAGACAGTGAAAGAGGTGGATGCAGTGTTACTGGGTTAGCACGAGTTTCATGATACCTTTTGTAGGAAGACCACTCACCCGTTTGTAAGGAGTTGGCGACGCATGAAGTATGAATGCATAGAGATAGTCGGTTGCACAGCACCTTGGAGCAGGATGAATTGATTCGTTTTCTTATCAATATTCGTGGTCTTTAGTTCCACGGTGATAGCCGATGATCTGGTTGTTATATACACAGTATATACAGTAGTAGGCAATCCGCCAGTTGGGCACCTTGGCTTCATATCTCATCTCACATTTACAAGACACGAACCGAGGATGAGCTGTGCCTTGCCAATGTCCATTCCTTTTTGTGTTTGTACAGTCTTTTTAAGTCTAGTGTACACTGGAATCACATCCATATCGTACACTGCGCACAGTCATGGTTGGTCCCCTTTCATGTAGGGGTGAATCCTCCCAAGTGCGGTGACTCTTCCTCCTCTCCTAGCACCCTTCCCTTCCTTCCCATTAATGCCTTCCTTTCCCCAAATCCATGTCCTATCCCAACCATCCACCCTTCAAACCCTCCTCCTCCTCCCTGTCACCCTCTATTTTACCTTGCACAAAACCAACCCACCAACTTTCCTCTCCACCGCCTCCCTAACCTCCAACACACCTCTATCAGTATTCACAAACAAACACTCCCCCAACTGCAACCCCTTCATATAACCCGCAGGAAAGCCCCTCGCCACACGGTTCAACTCCTCCAAAGAAGCAGTCACCAACCTCGACGGCTTCGAAATCGGCTTCAGCGACTTCAAGACGGGCTCCTCGTTCCAGTACTTGAGTCCCACCCACAACCGGCGCGTGGCCACGTTGGCGCTGGTGACGGGCTCGGGCTCATGCGTCAAAAGGGCCTCGGGCGTGGGCGGGTGAGGACCGCCCCGCGTGACGGAGGAGATGAAGCCTGCGCGGTGCAGGGCCAGGGCGAGCGCGAGGTTGTATTTGGTGTTGGGCAGGGAGGTCAGGCCCAGACGTGCGCGGGAGGCGTTTTGGAGATGGGAACACATGTTGGTGATTTGTTGGATGCCCATTTTGGTTGGTTGTGCCCGTGGGGACTTTGAAGTAGAATAGAGGAGTGGAGGGGTATCGAGTGTAAAGAGAGAGAGGTTGGCCGTCGCGTAGGTCGTCGGTCGGTCGATCGGCTGGTTGGCTTGGCTTGGTCCGAAGTGAGGCAGGCGCTCGGTGATGCGGCGGACTGGGGACCTTGGCGGGATGAAGAGGAGGAATGCCGGGGATGCGGACTCGGTGCTGTAGCGACGGAGCGTGTCTTGAAGTTAGCGAAGCGTGTCGATAAAGTTTCGCGGGACAACAAAAAGATTGCACGCACAAAGATTGGGAGACCGTAGCAGTTGCGCACAGTTGGGTGGCCGTCACGGGTTCGGTGGTCGCAATCGAGGGATTCGAACTTCGGAGGAGCCGTAAAAACAAGTGGAGGTTTGGGGAGTCGCGAATGCGGCGCGCAACGGAGTCCGGATGCGGATTGCGGTTTCGAGGTCTCGATCGGGTGGTTCCGTTGTGGTGCCGAATTTTTGTCCCCCTGTCCGCGACCGCCGCCGTACGGGCCTGGCGGGCGTGCGTTTGCTTGGCCGCCGGGGCCGGGTGGAGGACAGGGATGGTTCGAGAAAGAGCGGGCACTTCACTGAAGAGTGAAGGACCTCCACTGTTCCTTCCAAAGAGTTCACTGCAAAAGAGACCCCTGTTGCCCTGAAAGGCCTCCGCCAGGCGCCAGAGGGGGCCCGGGCGGGATTGAATTGCTACGCAAAGGTTAGATGGCTAGTATAGAATTGATGCGTGGCTAGTATAAACCCACTTTTCTGGATGTGCAGCCAATCTCTGGCTCCCAACCGCGCCCGCCAACTTTACATCGCTAAGTACATTCGCGCGCGCCCTCTTTCGTGCTTCAATTGAGTTGAAGCTATCGCTATCTCCGTCGCTATCGTTATCATTGCCGCTGCCACTACTGCTATCAATGGGATCGTTGTTGCGTCGTTTGCGACTTCCTCGTAATCCGCCGCAACGCTTTCGCTTTTTAGTCTATTGCTCTCCCTTGTCCAGTTTATCGAGAAGCGCATCCCACTTATCCAATTCTTCGGCAAGATAGTAGCAAACGGCGACACCAATTCCAATAACTCTGATAACCTCGATAGTACCTTAGGTAATTGACTAGATTGGAGACTCTGGATGACTTCAAAATAACGCGGATTTGGTGATGCGCCTTGTAAGTTTTCGCACGGCTGACACAGATATGGTTGCGCGGCCAGAAAAGTGGGTTTATACTAGCCACGCATCAATTCTATACTAGCCATGTAGCCTTTGCGGAATTGCTAGATGGGGCTTCGAGCTCTCCAGGTTCGGGATGGATCTTCGTTTTTACCCCACCTTTTTTTGGCTTTCCCCTTCCTCGTCAATTGTGAAAGTGTGACAGTTGACTTGCTCGTGCTTCTTTCTTGGCATCCCACCTTAAGCGCCCAGGCGGACCATCCAGTGACCATCCAGGACGATGCAACCACCGGGCAAGGTCACTTCTACCGGCACCAGGGGTCGCATCACCAACCTATCGAGAGCGCTGGTTGGATGGCTGTGTGCTGATTGCGCCATGGAGTGAGAGCCGATGTGAAGAACCAGACCACGGTCTCTGGCAAAGGGAGCAAGGGTAAGGTAGGGTATCGCAAAGACCGGAAGCCGAGTGGCTTTTCTTTGGGTTCCGTCATGTCTGATATTAGGCGTGATAGTCCTCGGTTGGGAAGCTGAGAAAGTTCTCGTTCTTCCTTTCTATTTTCTCAATTCTTTCTGGTCGTTGTTGTGTTGCTGTGCTGTTTCACTCAAGCGAGTTCATTGATCGTAAAGATGGCCGCCCGCGAAGGAGAGGAGAACGTTGGCACGTTGTAAGTTTGTCCATCATTGATCGCGTAAAGACGTGATATCCTTGGGCGCATTCTGACTGATGGTTTCGCTTCATAGCTTTGGTGATATCCACTACTTCTACGGTCCTCCGACGAATAACCCACCTCATCACAGGTTTGACAAGGGCTCATATGTCTACCTATTCGAAGATGCCAACTATGGACGCGCACGGCTGGAGGTTGCGAACCAGCCTGGGAGGGAGGACCAAGATGCTTTCGACGGCTGTAAGCATCAAGTTTTCGGAATTAGAGATCGGGGCAGTGAGAAGGCTAACATCATGTGTCGCCAGACCTCGACAGAACCCATCTCGAGTACGATTACAACCACACCTGCCTTGTGACTTTGACGGTTGGCGAGGTCGATGGTCACGAAGAGTGGCATCTGCCAACATACGACCCTCATAACCAGGCCAAGTACCACTACAAGCTTCACTCGCTCGACATCTACTTCCACAACCAACAAGATGCCCTGCAGTTTGTCAATGGCATCCGGCGTGTGCTCCCTCCTCACCAGTGCGATGTTCACAACGAGCCAGGACCACCTCCTCGACACGACACCGAGGTCAGCGCGGTAGTCCAGCAACTCGAAAGGGCGGCAATCGGTGACCACGGTACACCCCCGACTACTCTATCACAGCCTCCGCAAGTTGGCGGAATACCGTCTTTTTCTCCGCCGCCCATGTCCGCAGTATCTGCTTCCTACAATCATTCGACACCATCGCCTCAAGCATTCGTTCCCATGGCCTATAACCCGGCCGCGCCACCTGCTGCCGAACCAGTACGATATCGCGAGAAGACGCCTCCCCCAGAGGATGCCGCGGTGAACCCTCTGCACCAGACTCTGGCTTACGATGCGACCACGCCCTTCTCACCAGGCCTGCCTCCTCCCAGCGGTCGCGGACCCTTGAGCCCGGGCATTCCTCCGCCAAACCTCCAGCACCCACCCGGAGCTCCGACTTTTGCCGCCCCTCCACAACACAGCGTAACCTCACCCGGCTTCGCGCCCCAGGGATTCGGCGCGCTTGGAGGCGGCTACCCGACAGGTCTCAGCCAACCGCCCGTACACCCCGGCGTACAAAGATCTATCACCATGCCCGCTGGGCTCCCCAGTCCCGGTCTTGCCAGCCCTGGGTTTGCTAGCCCGTATGGTCAAGGATACCCAGCCCAACCTGCTTCGGTCGCTGCGGTAGGCGGCTACGGAGCTGTTCCCCCTACCCCCACGCCACCTGGTGCTGGATACGGGGCTGCGCCGTCGCCGATACCGCCGTCGATGCAGCAAGGGGCAGGCTATGGGCAGAATGTCGCTGGACAGTCGGAGTATTCGGTCCACCATCAGTTGTATGTGCCGGAGCAGAAGAAGGGTAGGCTGGAAGAGGGTGCGGGCAAGTTGGAGAGGGGTGTGACGGGGATGTTGAAGAAGTTTGAGAAGAAGTTTGGTTGAGAGGGGGGCGTTATTGGATGAGGCGTGTTTGGGGACTTTATTAGCGGTTAGGTGTTTTTGGTATACCAATTGAGAACAATTTCTACATCTCATCAGTGCGAAACGTCACATACTCAGATAATTGTCAATGTGATCGGATGAAAGAGTATTGACAGTGGCATCAAGCGATCCCTTGATCTCCAACATGAAAGGGTTAGGGTTAAGTGTGACTACAGACCCACCATTACAAATGCGTTTTGACTTTTTTTCTTTCATTCACATGGAACGAAAGCGCCGCATGCCTCTTCATTCATAACGCCGTCATATCACTTACGAAACAAATTAGCGCTCAGCTTCATCCCTCCCAAAATCTCGGCTTTTCTTCAGCCAACCCAGCCAACAGTGGGTTAAAAAAAAATATGCTCATGCGCCAAATCTCCTCCAAAGAATTCCCCGACCTATTCACCACCATGTCCTCATCCGGTGGCGCTGTCACCAACGGCGCCGGCGTCGCTCCCACCGCGCCCGCAGTCGAATACCACAACCCAACGGACGACACCACTCTTTCCAACGAGGATAACAATAACACAGCACTAGACGACGTCTGGGGCGACGATGGCGACGACGATCATAATGACGTCTGGGGCGACGACTCACACTCACACTCCCACTCCCACTCTCATGAATACCACCATCATCATCACCACCACGATTCAACAACAAGAAGCAGAGGCCACGGACACGGGCATCCTTCAGATATCCCCCGCCTCCAACAGGAACACACAACAGCCGGCTACCGCGACGGCATCACCGTCGCCAAAGCTGAGCACGTGCAAGCTGGGTTTGACGAAGGGTTCGGGCTGGGAGCGACGATCGGCGCTGTGGCGGGGCAGTTGTTGGGGGTTTTGGAGGGGTTGAGTTTTTCTCTTGGTGGCTCTTCTTCGTCGGCGAAGGGGCGGCGACCGCAGCAGGATAATGAAGAAGAGGAGGAGGAGGAGGATATCAGGGAGAAGGTCAAAAAGTTGTTGGCGGAAGCAGAAAAGGATCTCAGCGTGCAAAGTATCTACGGGAAGGAGTACTGGGATGAGGATGGGACTTGGAGGTATGAGGTGCCGGGGGAGTCTAAGGCGCAGCATGAGCGGTATCAACATCCTGAGCGAGAGCAACAGCAGCAAGACCAACAGCGACAGCGGGATCAAGAGGACATGACAGAGAAAGAGGGCCAAGAAGAGGAAGAAAAAGAAGAAAAAGAAGAAGAAGAAGAAGAAGAAGAAGAAGAAGAAGAAGCAGAAATCCTCTTCCCCGACGTTGCGCTAGCGCATCCGCTTATCAAGAAGTGGGATCAGATCATCCGCACCGAGCTGGCGGAGAGGTTTGGGTTGGTTTGGGATGTTGCGGTGTTGTTGCCGAGGAGCGAGGAGGATGAACATGAGGAGGGTCATGAGCATGGTCATGTGGTGAAGGGTTCGGAAGAGCAGAAGGATGCGAAGCCGGTGAGGGCGACGAGTCAGGCGTTGGCTTGGTGAAGGCTGGAAGATATGAGCAGGATCATTAATTCGTACTAGTCAGACGGTCGGTGTTGTAGACCTGACGAGTAATGATTGAGGGACGTCTTGATATTATGGAGGTGAGGAGGACCGAAGAGAGGATACGTGAACTTCAAATAAAAGATCTCTTTACCCGGGTGGTCTTCACTGCGGTTGCGACATGCCTTCGTTCTTGTTTTGGCTATCATGCCGAGAAGGACCAGTGACGGATACTCGTCAGGTCTTAACTAGTCAGAGGTCGGTTTTAAACTAGTCAGACGGTCGGTTTTGAAGACCTGACGAGTAGTGTACAATGTCCCCTGACCCTGGAGAACAGATGCTAGAAAAGTATCTCTTCCACGCAATGCGAGAATCCCCGAGTTTGATGCTATGTATTCCCAAAGTGAAACTCTTGAGGTTTGTCGATGGTAACAAAGCATTACCAATGATACGAGGCTGGGGTTCACTTTGACCCCACATTCCCATGAGTCGCTGACTGTGAGCTGAACAATTGAGTCCGAGTCAGGTATCCCGGCCGTTGTCATCCGTTATTCAGCAAAGCCCCAGTCCGATGAGCTAAGCAACCAATCACAACATTGTACGGGGATCAATAACACCATATCCAGCCAGTAAGCTTGTAGCTCCGGGATTCAATGTTGCAAATAGTAAATGATCCGAGTTTGAGACCCCTCCCGATCTGCTCTTCAGCGGACGCTGTTACCCTTTGTTGTCGATTTGGAGTTGATTACGGTAATCATGACGAATCCGGGTCACTCTTGTTATCGATGCTGATGAACTGCAGGTATATCCCTGTGGTGCCGAGACGTCCCTGATTCCGTCCCTTTTGGAGTTCATCGTATATAAGGAGGACTGTGCCACATCCTCTGTGAGCTCGAATTGAATCCATTCCAATTTATCCTGCAAGACTCTCTGCTGTTTTCTTTACTTACCTTACACTTATACACCACTCTACTCTTAATACCTAGTCAAGATGGCGCCCAGAATCGCAATTGTTTACGTAGGTACCTGTTGTTCTTGATCAGTTGGTCAAATGGCTAATCAACCATACCTAGTACTCGATGTACGGCCACATCGGGCAGCTTGCTCAAGCTGCTAAGGCTGGCATTGAGAAGGCCGGTGGCACTGCCGACCTCTACCAGGTCCCCGAGACCCTCTCCGACGATGTCCTCGCCAAGATGCACGCCCCTCTCAAGCCCACCGACGTCCCCGTCATCGAGGACCCCGCGATCCTCAAGGAGTACGATGGCTTCCTCTTCGGCATCCCTACCAGATACGGCAACTTCCCCGCGCAGTGGAAGACCTTCTGGGACAAGACCGGCCAGCTCTGGGCGACCGGCGGTCTTTACGGCAAGGCGGCCGGTCTCTTCATCTCGACCGCTGGTCTGGGCGGTGGCCAGGAGTCGACGGCCATCGCGGCCATGAGCACGCTTGCCCACCACGGCATCATCTACGTGCCTCTCGGCTATGCCAAGGTGTTCGGCGAGTTGTCCGACCTCTCGCAGGTTCACGGCGGCAGCCCCTGGGGTGCTGGTACCGTTACTGGCGGTGATGGCAGCAGGCTGCCGAGCGAGCTCGAGTTGAAGGTGGCGGGCATCCAGGGCGAGGAGTTCTACAACACCTTGTCCAAGCTTACCGGTGCGTGAGAGTGCAAGCGGTATGCATCCTTTGCTTGTGATGAGCGCGGAATTGATGTTTTCGCGAATGGTCGCTAATGGTGCTTCTCCTGACAGGCTCGAAGAGTGGTAATGGCGCAAAAGCAACAGCTGCTGTCATTGAGGCACAGCCGGTAGCTTCTCAACCAAAGCCAGTGTCGCAACAGAAGAAGGAACCCGTGAAGAAGGAAGAACCGGTCCCTCAGCTGAAGGAAAGCAAAGAAGGTCCTTGTGGATTGCCTTCCAAATGCGACGTCATGTGAACTCGTGAAGGCGATTTTGTCAGTTTAGCATGCAATTGATACCAATTCAAAACAGTTAATATCCAATCTGCCCAGCTCCTTTTTCTGTGAAAGGCTGAGGACACAGCTGCTTGGAGTGGTGAGGGTGAGCTCGAGAAAGAGAAGCTGGTGCTGAAACCCCGAGATTGCACCGCGAACAGCAGAGAGAAAGACCCCGCCCCCATATTGTGCCCGCCCCTGCAAGTGGAGGAGGGGCGGGTGTGCCTGACATCTGGTGGAGCCGCCGGCAGTTGACGACCCCACCCATTCCACGACTTGCACTCGTGCACGGACAATTTGCACTCGTGCACGGACAATTTGCACTCGTGCACAGACCACCCCAGGTCGCTCGGGAAGGGTATTTAATGTCAACCACCGCTCCCACTTTTGCTCTTGTTTTCTTCTTTTTTTCTTCAGCTCTCTTTGCCTTTTGGCTTAGATCAAGTGTAGTATCTGTTCTTTTCAGTTTAATCTCTGAAAGTGCTCTACGGAGTACAATCGTGATTATTCTAATTTTTGCAACTCGGTCGGTTTCCCTCTGTGCTTGCACATGGTTACCTTCCACTGTGTCCCTGGTATTACACTGCCTCCAGGCGACGCGAACCACTACATCTTGCTTGTGCTCACCCTCTTTCATTGCAATCCTGGGCTTGAAGCTCGGGATGTAAAGAAGCAGGATACACAACATCTTGAAATGCCAGACATAACTGGATTCGAGACTTCGCGTCTCGATCCGGTTGGTTCTCCGGACCGATATCCGGTCGATGATCTGACACCATTCACCATCCCCGAACGACGGTTCAACTTTTACGGCTCGCTTCTGGATGACGCATCCCGACTCTTGTACGCGTTCACCACCTTCCACATCTGAGATCGTGCCTACATACCTTTTTGAGTCACTGGCCCATCACGGATAGTGAGGACGTCTGTTCCTTGGTTTGTAGAGACCTTCAGGTTCTCATTATCCCCAGCTAAGTCCGAATCTGGCTCGCCGATAAACTTCACACTCGACGTCCTCTGGTTTCCACGAACCAACAGGCCACGACAGATATGCAGCTACGTAACAGATGCTACCCTAATATCTGCGGCGCATCCATATAAACATCGCCATGTTTCTTATCCATCGACTTTACTCTTCTATGCTGTTAGCCACTGTTCAGCCTTCACTCCATCTTCTACGTCAACAGAGATGAGATTCCTACAGTCTCTTTGTCTCCTTCCTCTAGCCACGGCCTTCGGGTCATCATGGTACCACAATGCCTTCTCCTGGCAAAAGCCACTCCTGGGCTCAACAGTCAACGGTGTACATTTTCCATCGCTATTGGATGCCGATCTCGAGGATCTCGCTGCCGGGCTTGAGAAAGGCTTGTTCACCAGCGTTGATCTCGTCAATGCCTATACTCGACGTATTCTGGAGGTCAACTCAACCCTCAAGGCGGTCACCCAGCTCAACCCTGATGCCCTCACAATAGCGTCGGAGCTGGACATTGCTCGAACAAATGGCACAATTAGAGGCCCGTTGCATGGCATCCCGATCCTGCTCAAAGACAACATTGCCACGGCAGACAAGATGGACAATACAGCCGGCTCATATGCTTTGGTCGGAGCCAAAGTGCCCGAGGACAGCACGGTGGCCGCCAAGTTGAGGAAAGCCGGTGCCATTATCCTAGGGAAAACAAACCTGTCTGAATGGGCCAACTTTCGCAGCAAAAATTACACTTCGGGCTGGTCCACCACCGGAGGCCAGACTGAGGGAGCATACTATCCCCAGCAGGACCCGTCCGGGTCTTCGTCCGGCAGCGGCGTAGCCAGCGCTCTCGGTCTAGCCCTAGCTTCTCTCGGAACCGAGACACACGGATCCATTCTCGCGCCATCGGACGCCAACAACCTCGTAGGCATCAAGCCCTCCGTCGGCCTAACCTCTCGCTACCTCGTCGTCCCCATCTCCGAGCACCAAGACACCGTCGGCCCCATGGCCCGAACCGTCAAAGACGCAGCTTACGTCCTCTCCGCCATCGTCGGCTCCGACCCCAACGACAACTACACCTCCGCCATCCCCTTCTCCTCAGACAAAACCCCCGACTACGTCGGCGCCTGCGACTACTTCGCCCTGCGCGGCGCTCGCATCGGCGTTCCGCGCAACTTGATCGAAATCGACGGCGACGACGACCCCTCCACCAGCCCCTACGCCCCCCTCCTCCCGGCCTTCGAAACCGCCCTCTCCATCCTCCGCTCCGCAGGCGCCACCATCATCGACGACCTCTTCCTGCCCGGCTTTGACACCATCAAAAAGGAAAACTTCGAGTTCACCGTCGTGGACACCGACTTCCCCCGCAACCTGGCGACTTACTTTGCCCAGCTGATCGTCAACCCGCACAACCTCACCTCCTTGAAAGATCTCGAGCGCTTCACCCATTCTTTCCCTGAAGAAGACTGGCCGGAACATGACACGCTCACTTGGGACCGCTCGTTTAATGTCTCTGCTACTACCACTCCCGCTCAAGCGTGGGGAAACTATACCGCTTTGCAGCACTACGCCGGCGAGCTCGGTCTCTTTGGGGCTTTGAAGAACCATAGTCTTGATGCGATGGTGTTACCTACCATGTTTGCCATGGGCCTGCCGGCGGAGCTGGGGAGTCCCGTGATCTCGGTGCCTATGGGGAAGTACCCCGAAGATGCGAAGAAGTTGAAGAACGGGTATGGAAACCAGTGGCTGGTGGCGCCGGGGGTACCGTTTGGATTGGCGTTCATGGGCGAGAGGTTCAGCGAGGAGAAGTTAATTGGGTTGGCGTATGCGTTTGAGCAGAGGACGAAGGTTAGGGGACAGGTCAGGCCGTATTTGGTGCCGAGGACGGAGGTGGGGGATGTTGTTGTCGGGGTTGGGATGGACGTGGGGAAGGGGGATTTATAGGCAGGTGGTTAAGTACACATTATTGTCTTTGCATACGAGAGTGGTTTCGAGCGTAGTAAATAGGAAGAGTCATAGTGTATGGACATAAATTACTCTACTACTGTCCAAGCGGTCAGTTTTTGTCCGAGACGTTAAAACAAGGTCTCATCCGAAGAACTCTCCCCAATTGCACGTGGAAGCAAAGAAGAAATGTTTCCCACTGTAGCGGACCTGATTTACCAACGTGTACACACACAACCAACCAACAACACCCAACTTCGGAAAACGTCAAACGCCATGGTCTCATTCATTCCCCTCATCAAAATCATCCCTTGCGTTATCTCACTCAACTCCGGTTTCCATTCCATGCCCGTCAGCCGGTCGGTTGGTCATTGACAACATTCATTGGTATATACATAGACATAATGATACCCAAAAAGTAGTACTCCTTTCAAGTTTTCCAAACGCTCCTCCGGTTGCCCCCATCCATCTCTTCTCTCATCCCATAGTCATTTCTCCAGTATATATACGAATCGAGTCGTGGGTATACATCACTCATCATAATTCCTTGTCAGCCCCCTCCCTCAATGTCCAATACCTGATCTCATGGATCCACGCCCGTTGTCATCCTAGCCGAACTCCCATTCATCCCTTCCCCTACAGGAGGACTTTGACTCTCCTTATCTCTCGCCGCTGTCGTACTCCTAGTGCTCTCCGCGCGACTGATATCCGCAGTAACAGTGCCGCTTCCACTTCCCTTTTCTTTCTCCACCTGTTCATCTATTTGGACGATTCTCTCTGGCTCTTTGCCCTTGGTCGTTACCAGTGTTTCCTCGCCCGAGTCACTCTCCGTTGATGTCCGGATGCTTTCTGACACCGAGGTCCGAGCTGTGCTACTCTCTGCTTGGGGGGTTCTTTCGGTCGTGGTATTCGATGGTGCAGATGTCGATTCCGCTGTGGTGGCCGCATTATTGTTGCTGCTCTCTATCCTGCTCTCCTCTTCGGGTTCGACAACGATGAGCGGCACTGAGTCGAGACGAAGACTTGGCAACCTGGTCGGTAGGTTCCCGGCTCCGACACCCGCTCCACCTGAGATGCTCCTCTGGTGAGCAAGCGTCCGGCCTCCATCCGTGCGCGTAGGGGACGACAACATCGAAGAAGTCTCTTCGGCTAATGGGGCAAGCGCTGGTGACGGACCGGGGTATTCCGGAGGTGGCTCGTTGTACGGCAGTGGCGTCAGACTTGTGGGACTGTTCCTACCAGATACAGCGGCAGAGGCAACCGGAGATCGGAAGGGAGTCAAGTCGTCCAAGCGAACGTCTTCGTACCCTGGTGGGGGTGGCATGTTGACAGCGCCCAGGTCAGCATCGTCGGCATCGATCATCTCGGGGCTGGATCCAGCGCGCGGGGTATTGGCAGCCGAGTTTGCCCTGGACCTCGATATCGATCTTCCGCGCTCGTGGCTGTTGCGAGTAACAATGCTGAACGTGCTGCTACCGCCCGCTCCAGTCAAGGGTGTTGCTATAGCCGGCGAATCGAGGAATTGATCACCCAACCTGGATGTGTCGACACTGAGTGAGCTCGAACCTCTCCGATGGTGGGCAGCTGAAGTACTACTTGTAGGCCTTCCCCCCTGCTGCGACACCGACATGCTTGCCGCGTCGCTTAGCAAACCGACCCTCTCGCTTTCCGTGCTGTTAGCCCGGATGCGCGTGCCGTCCGCCCTGGCGACACCCAAGTCCGCATACTGTACGCTGCTCGTCGCGCGCGATCGCAACTCCCTGATGCGATTGTGTTCCTCACGAAGCACCTCCAGCTCCTCGGTATTCCGCGTCGTCTGGACCCGCGCCTGTTCTCTAATCTGGCGCAAAGCTGCAGTGTTATGGGTTTGCCGGGCCTCTTGCCTAAGTCGTCGCCGCTCCTCCCGCTCCTGGTTTGCGCGTCGCCTCGCCACACGAATTTGGTACAACGCCTCCATTTCCTCGTCGCGCAGGTGCTCCTCGTCCTCGGCAGTCGGCATCTCCACCACGACATCGATACCAGCGCGCTCGCCCTCTCTGCCTAGTACTCGCTCGTTCTCGGCAGGGGCTGGTCGGTAGGCCGGGAGTGTCATGATGCTGCGGATCGACTGGTTACGGTTCACCTCAGCTGTCGTTCCTCCTGCCGCTCCTGTCCCGCCGGCTGCGGCGGTCCGAGCGTTCACCGCATTGAGTGCCTCCTCCATGTCGTCCTGGTTTGCCCGGTTGTGGCTGTTATACTCTTCGTCGATGCCGGCCTGGGCATAGGCATGTTTGACGGCCGGGACCTTCCAACTGGTCCATAATCGCTTGAAGAAGGGCGTGGGTATGTATTTTGGATTGGGATGCCTGGCGCGGATGGCGCGTAACGTGAGGGTGATGGATAATATTAGAACGATTACGGCGACGACGAGAGCGACAATCTGCGGCGGAAGTAAGTGTTAAGAGAGCACTGTATAGTCTGGAGGAGGATAGCCTACAATGCTAGTTTTCGTGGGCTTCTGGGAGGAGGGACCATTGTCGTCGCGTGGCCATAACCTGGTTGCCATTGCAACGGCATTGGGCTCCTGTGACGGGTGAGAAGGCCGGATTGGTATCCGTAAGTGTGGTACAGGCATTTTGGCTGGTGTTTGATATGTTTGATGGTGTGTATGGAATGGTTCGAAGAAGCGGCCGAGTCGACGCTCAATGGGTTGTTGATGAAGGCCGATGTCTCTGCATTGCTCTTGGTCGTCGTCTGTCGATGGAAAGCAAGGTCTTGAACTTGGAAGAGGCAAGTCGGCAGTCGTCACACAGCCCTCCGCAAGTTGACAACGCCAATGGGAGTGTGGATGTGTGGTTGGGGGCGTTGCCGGTTTCCAACAGGTCGCAATACGCGGTGATACACGCGGTGATCGTCTCTGTACAACGGTTCGACGGGAGTAATAATTCCTTAATATCGGCGGCCGGTGCAGATATATGCACAGGTAGAGTGGTATGTAAAGGTTGAAGCAGTATTGACACAGTCTGCTATCCGCACTCTGATACTTCCACTTAGAGATATACCACTAAGCAAATGACAATAGAAACAAAAAGTCCGCCTTGGCGGCTAACAAGTCGACCGAATTGAAGTTGAAGTTTCAGTTGGAAGGGAACAAGAGGAAATCGATATCACGCTCGCATTTCGAAGAAAGGTCACCTAATCTTTCGGTAAGGCGGGCGGGCAAGCGTGCGACCTGGAGGGCTGCCTGGGAAGTGGAAGCCAAGAGAGAACGTCGGGTAGGGATGCAGGGGCTTTACTGGGCAGTGCCGCCTCGTGTTGCGCCGTCAGTGTTGCGCAGTTGTTTACCATGCCCCTGGTGAATCCGTTAGAACGGTACTACAAGAGCAACAACAGGGTGCAGGGCAACAGCCATGTATTACGTCTTTGAGTACTTGAAAACAGATTGTCTTCCCAAAGATATAACTTTATGAGCTATGTAGGGCTTTTTGTTATTCTAAGCTTCTCATGACCCTCCTACCCCCAAGAATATGCACATCCCAAGAACCTCACTAACAAACAGCTAAACTGTTAGGTGGTGTTGAACCCCACTGTCCAGCTCGACCGTAGCCGCCCCACTGCATCAAAACGACACTAAAGTCCCGCAGTAGATCGTTTTTATCAGAAAGCACGTAAAGTGGGTCAAAGAGATATGCAGTAAGAAGTGATTGATTCTGGTGATCCTTGTCCCAGTCCTTTTCGAGGGTTCTGGGGTTTAAGTACAAGAACTAGGATTCTAGGAGGCTAGTCCTTATATAGTAATATTGTCAGACAGCCTAGTTATCAAGCCATAGTTATGAGGGGATTCCTATACTATATATATAGTGTATAAAGCTATATAGATAGGGAGGTATATATTGGATTAGAAGTCTGGCTATCTATGTATACCCTGATAATTTAATATACCCCCTCAACTAAAGGCATTAAGGCAAAGTTAAATAAAATTGCTAATTATATAAAACTATTCCCAGTCTAATCCTTAATTGTATTTAAATCTATATATTTCCTTTCCTTCTTATTTATATTGATATTTCTAATAGACTTTATATACAATAATTTTCTGAAATCTTTGTATTTATTAGCGGTCAATACTTTAATTAATTTGTTTGCTGGCATTTTTATCGTTTTATAATATTTAACCTTAATATATCCTTCCTATACTTTTTATTGTAACTAATAACGGTAGATATCAATATAATGGAGTTTGGTATTTAGTTTGCTATTCTTAATAGTAATAAGGCGAATTATTTACTAATTATTATATTAAATGGTGGGAATCAGATTAATAAGATGAATTAGCTATTTAATTAGCCTTATTGTAAATATCGCCTCCTTAACTATATTTCTAATTGCTCATAACTCTGCTTTTATTATTAATATTATAATTATTATTTATTTCGTTGCTCCTTAGTATATAAGACTATTAAAAAGTTTAATAGTAAATTCTTGAAAACTCTTTCGATTAAGAAGGTTATTAATAAAGGAAATATTTAAAATAACTTTAAGAATATTATTACTTCTAAAAGCTAAGGCCAGTTCGCTAGTGTAGTAAAGATAATATAATACCTTATTTGCTACCTTATAATAATTTGGATTAGGGTTATAATTGTATCGAATTAATCAGCTTGTAATAAAGGTAATATTTGGTCTAGTAATGACCGCTATATATAGTATCGAACCGACTTTAATTTAATATTGATGGATAGACTTCTTTAATATTTTGTTTTTGTATAGTATTAGTTTTTGGTTAGCTATAGGGATGAAAGTTGTATATTTATTATTAGTAAGGTTATAAATCTTTTCGAAATAAGACCGCTAGGATAGCTATATTTTTTTAACCTTTCGATTTCGGATAATTTTTATACCGAAGAACTATTGTAGCTTATTACTTTTAATAAAATAATATTAACGTTTTAAATTTTTTATATATTATTAAACCTTTATTTTTCGTTGTTTAGGGTAAGCGAAGATAATATTATTTATATAATAGAAGATAAAGATCATATTTTTAATAAGAATATAGGGCTCTTCAGGTATAGGTTTAAAGCCGTTGTAAATAAAAATGTTAATAAATTCGCGTTATTATAGTAACGGTAATTAGCGTAGGCTATAAAGTACTTTGTAAATTCTTAGTACCTTACCCTCCTTTTAATACCCCAACGGTATCTTTATAAATATTTCTTCGTCGAAATTAATGTTAATAAAGGCATTAACCATATTATACTAAATTAGTTCGAAATTAAATCGAATAATAATAGTAATAATAGTTCGAAATAATTTCCTAGCGAGAGTTGAAGTATAAGTTTCTTACCTTATCTTCTATTATTAATCCCTTCAAACTACGAATTTCGCCTTAACTTTATTGAATTTTCTATTCTTATAAAACTTATATATATAAAGCTATATATAATCGAATATTTATTTTCTTCGAGTTTTGGGCTTATTAGTATTGACTTCTACCTAAATATTTATATTTTTATAGCTATCGAAGTATTTTTGCTTAATTATGAGGGATTAGGCTCGAAGGAGGTAGTTATCGAAGTTTTTATAGTATTTAGGTAAATCTGGAAGGTTATAGCAATATATAGTATTAAATTTATCATCCCTAATTAAATAGTTAAATTAGGCTTTCATAATTATTTACCCTTAATAAGGAGTTACTAATTAATAAAATCTTCTAACGTTAAAGGTTACTTTCTATAGAATAAATCTATTTGTAATAATATTTTTTTTAGATAGGTATTTTAAAAGAGACTAATAAAGAAAGAAGACGGCGGTGGTAAATTCGGAGGAGTTGGGTAATAGTTGAGGACGTAATTAAAGAATATTTTTAATAGGTTATAACGTTTAAGAATTCCTTATATTTTTTTTTCGCTCTCTATTAAATTTAATAATAGTAAATTATTAGGAAGTTTAATTATATATACGTCTTCGAAATCGATTCGGCTCCCGAAGTAATTGTAAGTTTCGTATAATTAATTTATTTATTAAATAAATCAGCGAATTCGTTAAATATAACCTTAAAGTTGGCCTTCTCTTTAAAAATATCTTTAATAAAGATAGTATCTTTATCGAAGATTACGTTTCAAATATTAATAATACAATTATTATAAGGATTCTAAATCCGGTAAATAAATAAGGATAAATAATTAATAAAATAACCGATCTATACCTTTAAACTATATTTCTTTCGTCTCTCTTACTTTAATTAAGTAATTGTAATTATAGCGTAAACTTTATAGCTATAAATTCGAAAGTATAAGAAGTTTAGCTTTCGAAGGGTGGTGAATTTATATTAGCGAATAATTAAAATATGAAATCGTTTGTATAGGGATTTCCAATTGTAAATATAATAGGGTAAGCAGTTTATTAAATAAATAATTACTAATATAATTTTTATTTATAAACCTTCTATTATTTGGGTACTAATAATTATAGTTTTACCCTTCTCTTTAATAATACCCCTTGAATATTTTGCCCCGCTATTTTGAATTTGAATATTTGGAATATATATTTCGATTTTAATTCCTCTAATAGCGAAAAACTTTTTAATAGCTTATATTTTAATAATTGTATTATTATATTTAACGTATTGTAGTTTAATATCGTACCAGTTTTTGAGGATAATAAATAAGTCTTTGAAGTAAACGAGGATCGATGGAATTATCCTATTTTGAAGGTAGTAGTCCTAAATATAGCCGGTATATCGATAAATAATTAGTATTACGTTAATATACTTTATCTTATTAGGGTTATAGTTAAGGAAGTCGATAGCTAACTTTTCGCCTAGTTTATTACTTCGATTATATTATTTTTATTTAATTTAGCGTTTGATTTTCGTAGTGCTATATATATTATATTAAACGGTAGAGGGGCCTTTAAAATAAGTTCCTTCTACGTTATAAAAGTAGTTAAGGATTCAAAAATTATAATATTTAAATTTGTAGTATTAAAAAAGACCGTTCTTCTTATAATATTTATAGTTAGTAAAGAATTAAATTAGTTTTATCTTATAAAGAAACTAACCTTAATTTTAGTAAGGGGAATGTTTTTAAAAATAGTTTAATTATATTGTAAAAATAATTTATAAAAGAGTATATTATTTGGGGAGCGGAGATAATTATTGTGTAGTTTATAATCCTAATAATAGTTTTACTTCCTTAGGAGTTAGAAAAATATTAAATTAAATACAAAATTAGGATTAAATGTTATATCTTTTAATTTTAATTTTTTAAATCCGTTCTTCCCTTAAATAATAATGTTAATAATATTGTATCCTTAAATAGAAATAATTAAGTTTCTAACCTATAAAATTTCCCTATATAGGGTGCGCCGAAATGAAATAAAATGAATAATTTTATTGAATATATATAACGAACTTTTAGAGTCGAATATTATGTAGTTCTTAAGTAGGTAAATTGCGTTTTCGCTTTCCCTTATTTAGGAGGCTATTTAATTAATATTGAAAGTAGTTTAATAGACGCCTTTATTAGCGAGTTAATTTAGAGTATTATTATTCTCTTAGTTATTTTAATAGTTTTTATTGTAGTTAGAATTATTATCTTTCTTAAAATCCTTATTAGAGAAAGGAGCGTTATATTATTTAATTAATTATTTATAATAGATATTGATTTCTGTACGTAATTCGTCGTTTTTATGAAGGTTCTTTTTAATAACCTCCTAAGTCTTTTTTTCCTCCTTTCTAACTAATTTTAGCTAAATGTGGGAAAATATACTAATATTTTTTAGGAGAGTGGATACCTTATTTATATATTTTATAATAAGGAGGGGTCTTTTCTAAGGATTTTATTAATTTAGTTCGCTTCCTCTTATTATAATATAGTTTATTTTAATAGGTGTCCCTGTCTTCGATATCGCGTTTATTTAATGTAGGCCCTATTCCGAAATTTCCCTTCTTAATATTATAAGCTTTACTTATTAACACGGCTAGAATCTTCTTAAGGATACTTTTACGGCGGAAATCGCCGGATACGTTTCGAAAGTTTAATATATTCTCTTCGATATTTATAAAGCAGTGCTAGTTAACGCCGGCTATTTAAAGGGGACGAACCGTTCTTAAATATTTAAGAAGGTTATTAAATTAAATATTAATTTAAGTAGTTTTTAGAATTGTATAACGTTTAGCGAGGGTTATAATCCTATCCTGGCTATTAATCTATTTATTTATCCTACTCTTAGGTTTTTTTATAAGAGGTTTAAAATATTTGTAATATTGACGGCGAACTTCAATTTGGGTATTAATAGGACGGCAATTATAGGTTCTTTTAAATATAATTAATTATTCTAGGGTTATACCTAATTTATCAAAAGTATTAACTTTATATTTAATATAAATGGTCTCTTATATTTATATCTTAATACGATTATTATATAATTTAAAGTCGCTAACGATTTTATACCGAAGGTTATTAGTAGATTTGTCGGAATTAAATATATACTTACTAATTAATAAGAAATCGGTTAATAAAACGGTAAGGTCCTTTTCCCAATGTGAAAGCGTGATCCTACGAGAGATACGATAACAAGATTAGAAGCCACAAATCAAAGTAATATTAAGTGTAAAGAGGGAAAAGGAAGGTTGACGAACGAGGGCATCACGGATCTAAACATATAAGTTAGATCTGCCACTCGTACCCGCCTTCCTAATCCGTACGGTCTTATTGATAAGAACATGAGCCTCATTCCATCCGATATGTCGCGACTATTAGGCGTGCCATGTCTATGTCCCCGGGCAACTATCCAGCTATGCCGTGATATTACCCCCCCCCGTAAAAGGAAGGCTCAGCCCTAGAGCCATAAGAAAAGGATATGCGATGAAAGGAAACAATTGAGTATGTAACAAAGAAAGATGATATGTAAACCTATTGCAACGGTTGGTCCAATTTGTTTTGTTGCGACGGAATGTTAGAAACCCAAACTCCACGCTAAGTATCGCGACCATGTATTTAACCTGGTTGTTGTAAATGTAAAAAACTTGTAAAAAAAATTTCTCCTAGTGTGACTCGAATAGGCCGCTTTCCCGATAGAGGATAGATGTTATCAGACCTTGGTGCGCTCTTGTTAGTTTAATGGGCTGTTACTCTACGCCGCTGCACTACGTAACTAAGGCTACGATTTGTACTCTATTGTCTTCTAGCCTATCCTTATTAACCCGCTTCTTCCCCTCATTTTCGTCTGCGTAGCTTTTTCCCTTTTGCTGTACCTTCTAGAGGAAGGTTGTTATCTTTGTAATCTTTCGCTATTGCCCTATTTTTAGCCGTACGTAGCTAGATGCCTAGCCTCTTTGGTGGTCCAGGCTTGTTATGGTTTGCCTCGTCGTTATGGTATTCCTTTAATTTCTTTGCTGCGTTCTTGAATACCTCTGCTAGGTACCATTCCGGGTTAGGATCCTAACCCTTCCAATCCACCTGGTATTTCACCTTCCCGTCCACTAGCCTGCTGCTTACTACCTTCTCTACTTCCCATTCTTCCTCGTTGTTGATAATTTCCCTCGTTGGGTTTGTATTTGCTTGCCCTGGTAGTGGATTTCCCGGATCTTTTCTAAGGCGGTCTGCGTGGAAGATTCGGGATCCTTGCTATGTTGGCGGGGTCTCTAGTTCGTATGAGTGTCCGACTATCCGAACGATTTCATAAGGGGTGCGAGTTAAGGGGAAGTCTAGCTTGTTGTTGGGTCTATCCGTGGACTAGCTCTTCTTGATGATGAAGACTTTATCCCCGACTTTGAAATCTGGCTCTCTGCGATGCTTGTTTGCCGCCCTGGTCTGTCGCTCTTGAGATCTTTTCACTGCTGCGCGTGCCTCGTCCTGTACTGCTTTTAGTCGTTTAGCCGCCTATAGAGCTTGTTGTCGGGATAGTTTATCTCGTGGGGAAACCGGCTCTTCCTGCCCTGTCCTTTGTGACTAGTCAAACGGCATGTGTGGTTCCCAATTAAAGACTACCTTATGGGGAGTTATGCCGTCTAGATTGTTATGAGGGAGCATATTTTGTATCGTATCGAGTGTTAGCAGAATTTCGGACTAGTCGTCTTGGTGATGGGAAATGTATGGCCGTAGTCGTTGATCGATATATTGGTTTATGATTTCTGCTTGGCTAGCTGTCTGTGAGTGCCTAGAGCTGCTTAACTTCTACTCGATTCCTAATAACTGGGCCAGTTCTTGGACGAATTCTAATATAAATTGGGGGCCGCGGTTATTGGTTACCTGTCAGGGCAACTTGAATATCCGGTATGGGCCTTCAAAGTATAGTTTTGCTGCCTCTTTTCCTGTCATTGTGTTTTTGTATAGTATATACTAGGATGTTTTCGTTAGCCTGTCTACTATTACTAGGACGTTGTTGTATCTATGTCAGTCCGTGGGTATTGACTTAAAGTCTACTACTAGTGCTTGCTAAGGCTGGTAGTTTGGAGCTATCTCCGGGGGGTGTAGGAGGCCCAGGGTCTTGTTACGTAGAGCCTTTGATGACCGATAGATCCAGTAGTTATTCACGCATCTATTTACTTTAGCGGTGATACCCGGCCACTAGTATCGTTTAGATACTACCCTTCTTATTTTGTTTCTTTCCTGGTGTGTTGTTAGTAGAGTATTATGATACGCTCTGATGATAGCAGTTCTGAGGTGTCCGTCTTCTGGTACTACTAGTCTACCTTTATATAATAGCAAGCCATTTTTCTCCTCGAAAGACCCCTTACCCCTCTCTGCTTTCGTTCTGTAAATGGCTAGTGATTTGGCGGTGCGGTTTGTTTGTAGTAAGGTGTCAATTAAGTTTAAGTTCGTTCTTGTTGCTGGCTCTCCTTCCTTATTTTCGCTGGGGTTTAATTCGTTAGTACCCAGTATTGCTAGGATGTCGGCCGTTTTCGTTTCTTCCTTATCCCTTGTAAATACGAAGTAATTGTCTTTTGGCTTTAATAGGCGTAACGTTCTCTGGTCGTCTCTCTTCTCTAGTACTGTTTTTAATTCTTTTGACTTCCTCGATAACGCATCCGCCGCTACGTTGTCCTTCCCGAGTCTGTAGGTTATTTTGAAGTCGTACTTTGAAAGCTTTTTAGACTAACCCGCTTGCTTGGAATTAAGTAGGCGTTTGATATAGAAATACTCCAATGCTTAATGATCTGTCAATATGGTGAAAGGTTGTCCTTTTAGTTCGGGACGCTACAATCTAATCGCTTTGATGATGGCCAATAACTCTTTGTCGTGCACTGGGTAGTTGAGTTCGGCGGGGGATATTGTTTCTGAGAAGAAGGCAATGGGATGCTATTCTTCATCGTCTTGCTTTTGGGATAGGATTCCTCTATATACCCCGTCGGAGGCGTCTGTCTCGATTCGGGTGTCCTTGCCAAATGTGAAATGCGTTAGTACTGGTGCGTTTAATAAGCTGTCTTTTAATTTGTTGAACGCCTCTTAACATTCCTCGTCCTATAGAAAGATTTTGTCTTTTTTGGTTAGCTTAGTTAGCGGTCTAGCAATCCTGCCAAAGTTGCGAACGAATTTGCGATAGAAGTTATAGAACCTGATAAAAGCTTATACCTCCTTCAGATTTTGGGGTATTTTCCAGTCCCGTACGGCTATAACCTTTTTGGAGTTTATTGATATGCCTTCAGTATTGATGATGAAGCCTAGGAACTTTGTTTTCGTTATATGAAATTCGTACTTTTTGATATCCGCTTGGAGTCTAGCTTTACGTAGCCTTGCTAGTATTCTTTTTACGTGGATCTTGTGTTCGGCTTCGGTTTTAGAGAAAATTAGGATATTATCGATGTAGGCGCTGTAGAAGTCCTGATAGCCCATTAAGGCGTCGTTGATTAGTCTTTGGAAAGACGAAGGCCCTTTATATAGACTAAAGGGTAGTACCTTGTACTAATATGCCCCGAAGCTAGTTTTGAATATAGTGTAGTCCTTATGGCCCGGGTATATACGAATGCGATGGAAGGCCTGCTGTATGTTTATTTTCGTAAAGATCTTGGCCTCGCTGATTTTGGCTAACGTTTCGTTGATTAGGGGTAGAGAGTAGCGGTCTTTTTGTAATAGGGTATTGAGTTTGCGATAATCGACGTAAAAGCGTAAGCTACTATTGGCTTTGGGTATAAATAGGATTGGCGCCACCTAGGGTGCTGAGTTGGCTTCGATAAATCCTTTTTGGAGGTTGTCGGTTATATATTTTCGATATTCTTCGAGTTCTTCTACAGTCATCTTGTTAAGGGGGTTGAATTTTAGGTCGTCTGGTTTCTTACCCTCTTCGAAGATTATTTTGTGATTAATGTCTTTGTGGTGTTGGGGTAATGTGTCTGATTTTACTTTGTTGAATACTTTTAATTCGTTGTGATAGTATTTTGTCACTTTTTCTAATATTATTTGCCGGTCCTTTATCGGGTAGGGGTCCTTCGCCTGGGTCTTTGTTTTGGAGAGGGGTGGTTGTGGGGGTGGCGGGGTGGTTGGGGCTCCTTCGGGGTCGTGGAGCTCCCGGTATATGAGGTTTAGTTTACGAGTTCGCCGGTCTGTAGTTTGGGTTTTGGTCAGTCTAGTTTGTAAGAAGTTGGAGGGCCTCTAGTCCATATAGTCCGCCGGTAATGCGTTGTCTTTTCTAGCCGCCTCGGGTATCGATTCGAGCTGCTGGATGCGAGCGTGTACTGCTTGCAGCTTTTTTGTATGACGCTCAGTTTTCTTTTTTATATTTTCTTCGTCTATTAACTTTTTACGCTTCTTGACGTCCTTCTGATACGATAGGTCTTGGATTAGCCTTATCTGCCCAACCTCTATGTCTTTTAGCCCCAGTAAGTGGATTATATGTGATCGATACATTAAGTGATTTTTCCGATAATTTGGTAGGATATCATTCCTTTCCAGCCATGTTCTTCTGATGATTATGTTCCTTTTGAGATTGGGTAATACGATGAACCATTGTTTTTTAAATGTGACCCCATCTATATGCAAGTGGCCTCTTAGCACTAGTTCGATAGAATTAGGTATAGCCTTTTTATATAGTGTTACCAGTCCTAGTGTGAAGTCGCTATAGGACTCTAGTTGTAGGTATTTCTTTAGTTTGTTGGTAAACGATTTGTTTACGATTAGGTATGTATTTGTTCCGATGTTAACTAGTGCTCGTCGTGTGGTAATAGATAGTCTATTGTTAATTATAGTTTATGTGACTAGAAATGATTTTCCCTCGCTCAAATAATTCGACAAATTGAAGTTTAGGTGGGTGTTGTTAGCTTGGTTGTTTGAGTTAACGTTATTGATTGATACTTCCCCTAGGAAGGAGCCTTCGGGCCCTGGGGTGTTTAGTTTTCCGACTCTGAATTGGCGTCCTCTTCGCTAGAGAAATCCGTACTGTCTTGGCCTGATATGGGGTCTATAGACTCCTCGTTGGTATTGGTGGTAGAGTGCGTTTGGGTTCCCTAAGTCTTATTAGTAATGGCGGTAAGTTGGGCTTTAATGACTTTCTTAATCTTTGCTTTTTTTGGGTAAACGTTTGATATGTGTCCTACTTTGCAGTAGTTGAAGTACTTCCCCTTAGCGCGCAGTTTCTTCATTTCCTCTAGGGAAGGGCGTTAGTATTTGGGGGTCGAGTAAGCTATTTTATTACCCGCTTTGGGAGTGCGGCTGGGGCTGGTATTGGCTTGATTGACGTATTTCTTGCGGTAAGAGGTCTCTTCTATTTTGTTGCTTTTATCGATAGATTGGAGGAGACGGGCGTACTTATCAAAGGATTTCCTGGGGTCGAGGTAGGTGGTTTCCGTAGCTACTCTGAGGTTTCTGGGAAGTTTGCGGTGTAAGTCGCGCTTCTATATTGCCTTGGGTAGGCGGTTTTGGCCGGCGAGGCGTATGAAGACTACTTTGAAGTCTTGGAATCGATCTGTTGATTTTATTCGGAGCCTTTTAAATTCTTGTATTGCCCTCTTAAGAGAGTTGTAGTTATAGTAGTTATGTTACAAGTGGGCTAGGAGATCGTCAGCGGTGTAGAACGCGTTGGGGTGAGTGTCGGGATCTAAGTAGGGGATAATGCTATTAGCTATCAGTCCTCCTAGGCGGGCTATGACCTCTCCTATACGGGCCTGCTTATCCTTAAAGTGGTCCCAATTTACCCGTAGTTTGTTCTTTATCTGGAAGGACCAGGCCTCGAAGGATACCTTGTCGCTAGCTTCGTTGTTGAAGACTGGTACGTCTAGTACTTTGGGTAATTTTTTGGGTTTAGAGCGGCCCGGACCGGCGATAGGAGCCTTTACGTTAGGGAGTGGGGTAGCCGCCCGATGGTACGCCGGATCTTTGGACCGTCGAGGTGGCGGACTATTATTATCGTTATTACCCGAAGGTTCATTATTAGAGGGGTTACCTCCCGCCCCCGTAGGCTGTTATTTTGGACGAGTGGGTGCTTTGTGGTGGAGTACGGTATTGTTTTGAGGGGGTGTTTTGGCCTCTTGCTTCTGTGTTTGGTCCGTACCTGTGGGAGTTACGGCGATGCCGTTTGAACGTATAAGTAACGTGATAGTGTTTTGAAATAGTTGATTCTATTCGCGAAGCATAGCGATCTCGCTAAATAATTATTTGTCCTAATCCTTGGCTGGTCCCTATTTTGACAACGCTAGTGCTTGTCGGGTAAAGAGGGTAGCCTAAGATTCTATACGCCGGATATTAGAGTCTGCGTTTTTGAACATCTTAAGGAAATTGTTGACGAGATCGGTGTAGGCGTTGATTAATAGAAAGCGGGCGCGTACCTTATGCTATACGCCAGTGGGATCCTTGTTGTACGCGATTTTAAACTGGACGGGATCTATTTTTTTACCGCTCCAGCTGGATAGTATACCTGTTTCTATGGCCTTGTTGGTGAAGGGGTGGAAGGAGAGGGTGCCCGTGCTGTTGCGTTGGTGGTGTTGGTCTAGGGCGTTGAATTGTTCGTATAGGTCTGTGGTGGTGTCTTGTAAGGTGTGATAGTACTTCGGGTTGGAGGCTACCAGGTAGATATTGTTGGTGTACGATTAGTATAGTGATTCTAGGCTCTGGTCGTTGTCCGAGACGCGGGATAACTTGTGGGTAGAGAGAGAGCGTCGTTTGATTTTGGTATTTGCTACGTACTTGGGTAGGTTCGTCGTAAAACTAATGTGCTTGGGGCGTGTGAAGATTAAGGACGCCCTAGCCTTGCCTTTGGGGATGGAGGGGGATTTTAGCTGGGTTTGACGGGGTGCTGAAGTCGAGAATCTGAATGGAATCGAGGTCGATTTCCTAACCGGTGGGGTGGGGTTGACTTTTGGGGAGTCTCCAGGTTGGTGATTAGAGTTATCCGGGTCGATAAACGGAGACTGGTAGTGTTGGGAGATGTTATCTATTTTGCCGTCCTCAACTAGTTGGACGAGCGAGGAGTTGTGTTGTTTCGTGGGAGTGGGTTTGTTGTTGCTGGCCGGCCAGATCGTGTTAGCTTTATTGCCGCTAGTGTTTCTAGGTTGAACTTCCTTCGCTATGATTACTGATCGAGGGTGGGGAAAGATCGGTTTAAGTCATGATAGCTCGTGTCAATTTCGTGTTCAGTTCTGTGATGTTTGCGATAATTAGGGCGAGTGTCGTTCGGGTTCGCTCGCGACGTTTAGTCCGAGTAGGTACGTGTGGGATGTTTAGTGCCGTCCCCAGTCAAAGAAAGGATGATACTTAATATTATGTGAAAGCGTGATCCTATGAGAAATACGATAATAAGATTAGAAGCCACAAATTAAAGTAATATTAAGTGTAAAGAGGGAAAAGGAAGGTTGATGAACGAGGGCATCACGGATCTGAATATATAAGTTAGATCTGCTACTCGTACCCGCCTTCCTAATCTGTACGGTTTTATCGATAAGAATATGAGCCTCATTCCATCCGATGTGTCGCGACTGTCAGGCGTGCTATGTCCATGTCCCCGGGCAACTATCTAGCCATGCCGTGACACCCAATTTGTGATAGATTTATTAGTAGTTTTGACCGTATTTGAAGAGGATGACGGTTGGTTTATTATACTTTAAATTTAGCTAGTAGGAGTAGCCAATATCAAATTGGAAGAAATTGAAATTAATAGAGTTACTATAGAGGAGGAGGTAATTACTACTCTTATAGTTAGGGCTAATATTATTAATCGAATAGGCTATAATAGCGTAGGCAGTATTAGAGTAAATTAACTTATATTGGTAAATTTAATATATTGGAGGGTACTATTTCGTAATTTTATAAGGTTTGTTTAAACCATAACTATATGATTCAAAGCGGCGGTTAAAAGTAGGTAAGAATCGAAAGGGTATAAAGTATTAAAGATTAAAGTTAGTTCTTTACTTAGAAAGTAATTAGTAAATTAATAATCTTTAACGAAAATAAGGAATTTATTTTCTTAATCCCTATATTTACTTAGAGTATTAAAGTAGGGACGAGAGGTTTTATTCATTTCGATAGTATTCGTTATATCCTTAGAGAAAGTTATAGTAATAAGCTTAATAAGGGTAATAATAAGGAATAAAAAAATATTAGGTATAAATACTTCTAAATAGTATTTCGTAACGTAGCGATTCGATACTTAGACTATTAATTATTAAAAAGCACGTTAAGTAGGTTAAAGAGATATGTAGTAAGAAGTAATTAATTTTAGTAATCCTTATCCCAATCCTTTTCGAGGGTTCTGGGGTTTAAGTATAAGAACCAAGGATTTTAAGAAGCTAGTCCTTATATAATAATATTGTTAGACAGCCCAATTATCGAGCTACAATTATAAGGGGATTCCTGTATTGTATATGCAGTGTATAAGGTTATATAGATAGGGAGGTATATACTGAACTAGAAGTCTGGCCATCCATGTATGCCCTGATAATCTGACAGTTTTCCTATCAGAACGTCCTCTTTCATTTTCAGGGAACTTATTTCGACGACATCAACCACCAAAACACTCGTCCATATGACAACGCTATCCCAAATTTATCACCGATTATTTTGTGGCTGACGTTGGCCGTCGGTCTCTTGTCCATGTCTAAGCTCACTGCCATGGTCGGACCCTATTGTGGCTTTATCTGGGGTCGATCTCAAACCGAAAGATACCAAGGTCGGTTCCCGACGGAGTGGCTGGGACGTCCTGACGGAATCCCCACTGCCACCGTCCTGGAGGTTACCACCACCACTCGATCCTCTCCTCTGGCTGGATCGGCGGGCTATATATCCAGGCTGTGTTTACCACTCTCACACGTGTACACTCTATTTTCTGCGGTTGCGCGGTTATAAGCTTGTCCTTGGTCTACACTGACTTGGGCATGGTCAATAGTCTATCTACACTACGGTGCAAAGGGTCCAACAAAGGGAAGCTTGTTCAAAGTTAGAGGCAAAAAGGATCTAGATCCTGGATCATCTTCTATTTCCAATCGACGCTAGCACGCAATCAATTCAAACGTCCACACCAATCCCCGCATACGCCGCCCTTGCCCTTGCGATACCCTACCGACAGAGAATGTCCGAGCTACCTACTGCGCACTCTTGAACACACACACACACACCAGGATATGAAACCACTTTCTCCGTCCAATGATACTTGCCCATCCGTACACGGCATGGCCGGATTTGGGGTCGTTTATTGCTTCTTCTTCTTCTCCGGGTCTGCGGGGTACGAGGTGAGACACAGTATCTGGGTCGGAGATATTACTGACACTTGTGCCTCAAGAACATTCTTATTGTACTTCTAGAAAACTTAAGCTGCTGCCTGTTTCAGTCACCGAGAGACAAACAAACATTGACTATCGGACAGCCACCATTGATTTGATGGTTCGATGGCTGCCAGCGTGTCCCGACTAAAACTCTGGTCGCTGAACGTCTACTCAGCGCTTACCAACAACTCCAATTTGCAAAGCTGCAAAGATGGACATCTTTACTGATATTCAGAGATGGGCAGTCTTCTTGTTCCACCTGATACGGATTCTCGTCAGTCAAAGTCACTGTCACATAGTTACCTCAAAAGAGAACTTACAGATCAAGGAACAGCTTCCACAAAATGGAAAACATCAAGCCTTGGAGACCATTGCACAGAATCCGCGTCTTCAACCCGCGGCCAAGCAAGCCCTTGATGCCATCATTGACAATGACCAACCTCGCTGCTTCGGCTGCACCAGACATGTCAGTTAGCGTAAACAATCCTCGCAAAGGGAACTCGTCCACCAACTGGCTCTGTCAAGTGTGACTCACAATAAGAAACCTTCGAGTCATTAACCTGCCGATACGTCTTCACCACTCTCAACGAATTCGACACCGAATCGCTCACCACGCTCGCCACGAACCCCGCAAACGCCAGTCTCAGCAACCAGATGCCCAACGGGTGCTTCGCCGGCTCGGGTATGATCTCCAGCAGATAATCATGCGTGGCATACCAGGGGTAGTTTCCCACGAACGTCGCAGCGGCCGTCGCAAAGGCGCCCCACCAGAGACTTCCGACGCCGTCCGTCTTGATGCGCTGTCGGAGGATGGCGGTGCCCCGGGGTCCTTGAGCTTGGAGCGTGGTTTTGAGGGTGTCGATGGGCGTCAAGATCATGCGGAATGCTGCGGCACAGAGCGAGGCAAAAATATCTTGGATGGTGATGGGGAGATGCTTGAGGAAGGAGTTGGATTGGAGGAGGGCGTGGATGCCGGCGTTGGCGGCGGTGTCGCCGAAGCGGGCTGCTGGTCCTGGATTTGTGGGTTGTGTGTGAGTATTGGGGATGGTAGCGGCCATTGGGAGTGGAAGAACTCACCTTGGAAGAGAGCAGCTCCCATCCCGTCGTAGTACCGACGGAGACCGCCTTGACGGTAAAGTGTCTTGGTCGCAGTGGTGAACGAGGTGCCGAAGCGGTATTGGTAGTTCATGATCGTTCGCAAAGGCTATATCAAGATAAGTGTCTTGCTCAACATCAAAGGTGAGGAGTGGAAAAAAAAGAGTCACAAACCATCAAAAGCAACACCTGAAGCACCATAGCCGCAGCACCACTTATACCACCCCCTAGAGCCCGTTTGAGAGCACCCTTGAAATCGAACTAGAGGTGACATCCATCAACATCAGTCCAAGTCGAGCATCTGGGCTGTTGAACAACTCCAGCGCAGAATGAAACTCACGTTGACATCCGCCCCATCATCGATCCAAGCCTTGACAAAGACAGCTGTCACAGTAATCGCAGCAATGGCCCAGAATATCCTCCACGCGAAGTAGCTGCGGGTATATCTGCTTCCCTCATTCTGTTCTGCGTCTTCAACCGTATCATTATCCGGCCCTGCTCGGTGATCATCATCTTGGCTTATCAAGAGCGGTGTCTCCTCGTTGATGGTGGTTGCCTCGCTTTGGCCGCTCTCGATATCATCGTCGGGAGTCTTGGTGGGTGGCATAGCTTCTTCATTCAGTGTTGTTCGTTGACTAGAACGAAGTGACCTTTGATGATGATGGAAATATTATCGTCTTTGTTCAGATTTAGCTCTGGTCAAAGTCTGGATAGTTACTTTGTTTTTGTTGCGAGATATTGCTGATACGCTCCAGGCCGATCCGGATCCCAGTCGTATCCCCCGCACGCAGCGGATTACCAATCGATGATGGCGTGCTAACCTCAGCCGCTTTGCTGGCCCAGCATTGTCGTCCACACATCTACACAGCGTTTTTTGAGGTTTGGATGTCTCGAGGTCTCATCGGGAGTTAAGACAACGGTTTACACGATAGCGATTGATCTTGATCGGTCTCAACATGACTGATAGACCGACACGGTGCCTCAGTCGCACATTGGCCTTTCTTCAGAAACTGAAATGCAGCAAGTCGTACCTTCCACCCCATGGAACGCGACCATGCCTCTTCAGCCGAAAGAAGAAAGGAAAAAAAAAAGACAGAAAAAGGTAGGTACATACAACACCAGGTTATTCGCCGGTCGTCACCGAGCCGACTACTGATCTGGCGGTCACTGGCTTATCTAGGGGAGAGCGGACGGGATCCCGAGTTTTTGCCCATGTGCCTATGGTCGTATGTTCATGTTTGAAGGAGAGATAGTTGAGTGACTGATAGTCACAGATGAACCCTTATATACCTGATGTAGAATATAAGCGTTTCAATCTTTTTTTTTCCAATTCTTCCTTCCCAGCCCTCTGCCCTGTGATCGTGTCACTTTCATTCTCTAACAACGACCGGGTAAGAGCACATCACGAACCAGGACATATCTAATCCAAGAAAACATCAAGAATTTCATTAATCATTAACCACTTATCCAAGATACAACGCCCCAACCCAATCAACATAGGTAACCTCAAAATTTCACCCCCTAAACTTCCTACTAGCCTCCGCAAACCCCATCCCCCCCTCAATAGCAACCTGCATCTTCGTATCCGCCTCCACCTGCTTCGCCATCAACGGTAACGCCTGCTCCGCCAACTCCTTCGGCAGCACCACCACGCCATTGATGTCCGCAACGATATAATCACCGGGGTTGATCGTCATATCCTGCTGCTCGTCCGTCTGGAGCTTCACAGGCACGTTGACTGCTGCCACCTTCAAAAGCTCGGCGGGCGGCGCGGTGCCCACGTCTCGCGCGAAAATGGGATACCCGAGGTCTCGTTGCTCTTGCAGGTCCCGGAAGCGGCCGTCGATGACGGAGCCGACGGCTCCTAGGGCGCGGGCGCGCGTGGACATGAGGCCGCCGTAGACGGCGTTGGGGGTCTTGGCGGGGGCGGAGACGAAGATGACGCAGCCTTTGGGGACGTCGTCGATCTGGGTGGGGATGGGAGTTAGTGGGTGAGGTGAGATCTCCTGGAGGTTGATGATGATGTTGGGGGAAGTAAGGTAAGAATGACTTACGTAGTGAGTAGGATGCTTCGGCCTTGGGTCATCTAGAGGAACATATTGGACTGTGTAGGCGGGACCGACGATCTTGGTTGCGCCTTCTTGACGGTGGGGGGACCACATGGTTAGGCCGGAGAGGAAACCGCCATTGCGGTACTTGAGCTTGATGAGGGCGTCGGAGACGTCGCAGCTGTTGTTTTGTTGTGTTAGTCTATAGGTAGGCTCTGTAACGAGGTTTGTTCCCTAAAAAGAGAGAGGATGGTGACATACGTTGTGTATTGCTGCAACGCCTTAACGACGAGATCTTCTTTTGTCATTTTTGCTGATGTTGATGGTAACTGTGAGAGTGTGTTGTTGTAGTTGTGTATGTGATTAAGAATGTGTTGATAGCCGAGGTTGCGGGGTCACTTGGACGAGGTGTTCTTTGGTGTAAATGAATGTTTTGGTAGGGTATCTCGAACACTTGAATTGATAATGTCTGGAGGTTTAGATCACATAAATGGCGATCTCAAGGTCACTTATATATCTCCAACACATGCAGTGGAGTTCAGATGTTGCATGATGCAATATGTCATGCCCGTCGTCGATAGAAGCGAGAAGGAAGCTGGGGAAGCTAGGAAGCTCGGCGACGGCGGGCTGGCATGTGGGACTGTGGAGACAATAACACCGTTGTGGTCCGTTTCCGTCCGGCCGTCATGGACGCCAAGCCCGCAAAACCCGGGGTAGTTTCAGGGGCCGTTTGGACCCGGACCGCTCGGCATGTGGCGGTGCTCTTTCCATGTCCTTCTGTGGTTCAAGCAAGTCAAGCCTGCTTTTACATGGAGATCCTATTCTGATCGTGGCTTCAACTCGCAATGATCAGCTTGGCGCAGTTGGCTCGACCCAGTCAATGGCTAGGGCGTTGAGACTCAGTAAAGAGCAGGTAAAAAGTCTTCAAAGCCCCTGCGAGGTTCCGAATCTTCTATACCTCAAGAGACTCTTCACCGGCACCTCGTTTTCCATTTCGCTTGACAGTCAATTCACTTTTCTTCATCCAGCAACAACTCAACGAGCGACTTGTTCATTGCTATGCTACCAAATCACTAAAACAAATGCATCGCCATCTTGCAAAGAGGGAAAAAAAAGCTTTCAACACCAAACGAGTGGTAGGCGTCGAACTTAACTGAGACAAAACCATACACTATACCTTTTCCTTTTCTCCCCCTGAAAAGGCAGCTTAACCTTGAGTGTCACCACCCAGGGCCAAGTTCAGCGTCATAACATCATTGTCATCATCAACCCTTCTTTTCCATCCCTCCCTCCTGCTCTCCTCCTCATCCACATTTCCCCTTCGGTCGGCCAAGAAATAAGTTGCCTGTGTTTACTGATCAACACAAGTCCAAACCACCTGCTTCTTCCCATCTCTAACCACTTGCTCCCTAACCCACTGCTGTCCCTGCTTGGCTTGGGAAGAAATGAAGTCCATCATTTGCTGGGGGTTGAAGACAAGGAGCTCTTGCTGGCCTTGGGCGTTCTGGCCGTCAAATTGCTCTTGCTGCTTGCCATTCTGACTCCACTGCTCTTGGGTCTTGCCGTCCTTGGTCCACTGCTGGCCTTGCTTCTGGCCGTCGATTTGCTCCTGTTGCTTGCTCTGGGCGTTGCCGGTGAACTGCTCCTGTTGCTTGCTCTGGGCGTTGCCGGCGAACTGCTCCTGTTCAGTGGTCTTGCCGGTGAACATCTCTTGGCCTTGCTTATTCTGACCATCGAACTGCTGGTGCTGCTTGTTCTGACCATCGAACTGCTCAGCGATACCAGTCTGGGTGATCTCGTGACGGGCTTGGATACCATTGGTCTTGAACTGCTCCTGAGTCTGTTGGCCCTTGTTGAACTGCTCCTGGGTCTGTTGGCCCTTGTTGAATTGCTCCTGCTGATGGTTGGGGGTGGTCACCAGGATACCGTTCTGCCAGGTCTTGTACAGCTGGTTGTCCATCTGCTGGCCGTTATAGAGCTGTTGAATTCCCTGGCCGTTGTAGAGCTGTTGAATTCCCTGGCCCTTGTTGAGCTGCTGAGTGTTGATGGGCTGGCCTTGGTAGAACTGGTGCGTAGTCACGAGGATGTCATTGGGGCCGTTGTTCCACTGCTGTTGCTGGTGAGTCTGCTGGCCGTTGTAGAGCTGCTGAGTGCCTTGACCCTTGTTGAACTGCTCCTGCTGATGGTTGTGGGTGGTGGTCACCAGGACACCGTTCTGTCCGGTCTTGTACAGCTGCTGACCGTTGTAGAGCTGCTGGTTCTGGCCGCCCTTGTTGAAGTCCTGGATGATACCGTTGGTGTTGCTGCCGGTGTTGTAGAGACCCTTGTTGAACAGACCCTTGTTGAACTGCTCCTGCTGGTTCTGGCCCTGGCCGGTCATGAACTGCTCCTGCTGCTCTTGGTTCTGGCCCTGGTAGAGCTGGTTGCCCCAGTTGTGGGTGTTGTCGCGCTCCTGGATGCGGCCGTTGTAGAGCTCCTGGGTCATGCCCTGTCCCTTGGCGAGGAGCTCATCTTGCTGAGTCTTGCCGGTGTCCATGTTCATGGAGCCGTGAGTGTTGGACTGGCCGGCAAAGAGCTGGCCGAAGTGCTGGTTGCGCTTTTGATTCTGGCCAATCTTGAAGTTGGACTTCTGGCCATGGGGCTGCATTGGGGTAGAAGAGTTGTTGGTTAGCGTGTGCTGCCGTGAACCGACAGTGTTTGGGATAAGAGGGCTTTTGGAGACTCACCATGCTATCCTGCTCCTTCTGGCCCATATTCATCCACTGTTCATGAGTCTTGCCATTGATCATATCAAGCTGCTGCTCACCCTGGCCAGTAATAATATTGTTATGGGCCAAGTCACCGACGATGTTCTTGCCGCACTCGGGGCACTCGATCTCCTTGCCGATCTGCTGGTCGACATATTCAATCTGGCCCTGAAGACCGCCACGGTTCTGCTGCTTCTGGCCGTCGACGATCTCTTGCTTGCTTTGAGCGGGGCCAACCTCGCGGCAGGCGCGAGAGCGGCTCTCATCATTCATGAGACATTCTGGAAGGGAGGGCAAGGCCGAGGTGGTGGCCGCCAGGGTCAGGGCAAGAAGGGAGTGGATATGCATGTTGTTTGCTGTGGCGGACTAGCTTGTGGACTTGGTTGGGACTCTCAGAGAAGTATGTGTGAAAGGATTGAGGGGCAAGTGAGGATGTCGAGGGGTGAGGTTGAGGATTCTTTCAACACTGCTGAGAGGAGTCTGTTGTCGTTTATATGCTTTGCTGCTCGCCCATTTTTGGTGGCCAAAACACCATGAACACCAAGATAATCGAAGCTGTCATGTTCACTTCTAGAAGGAACACAAGTTGCGATGATTGCAAACTGAAAGGGTGAGAAGTGGCGAGTCGCTGCTGTTTTTCGACCAGTGAGGAAACTTTCGATTGAAGCACAGCGACTACTGCTATCAAGAGTAACCACCAACTTCGGGATAGTTCTAGGTCTATGACCTAAATCAGTGCAACAGCTTTTGCCTACTGGATGCTCATCGATTGTGGAATCTGAGGGCAGAGTCCAGAGGGACTTGCCAACATACCTGGTGGAAGGTCTAGTGAAAAGGTCTCCAGACATCGATGAGTGACCCTGAACACAAAGGTCCAAAATCTCGACTGTGCTCCTCACAGTCCTGACCCGACGGCGTGGTCAAAAGGGTTCGCTCGAAGGCGTAGCAATTCATCGGCTCAGTATCGGTTATCCTACCCCTGATCGGGAATATGTCAAGGCTGACATATCACAGTCCTCGCAACACTGGATGATGGAGTATCCAATACAATGGGGTGTTGAGTTGTGCCAACCCCAGCTCGATACCAATGACTTTCTGTGATAAAGCATCGGTTTCGACTGGTGAGACTGTGCTCGTTCACACTACGAGGACATGTACCTCGTTTAACATGAGGCGACCGTGATATCGACAGAAGCAAAGTGAACGAGTGGGCTTTCTTCCATCCAGACGTTCCCTCGACTTGTGGTCACACACTGATGTGCTCTTCGAAATCGCGAATCGGATATGGGGAGGCGAACAAACAAGATTTCTTGCTGAGAATGGATGTTTGCCTGTGGTGATATTGAAAAGTGTTGAAATTGTCATAACTTTTTCGTTGAGAGACATTCTACAGCACCTCTAGAGCCACCCTCAGACAGATTATGTAGATGTGTGAAGCCTTCTTTTCCTAAGTGACCCACGCCTATTCCAATGCTCCACATGTGAAGGAAGAATACCATGACCGGAGTAGAGGAGTCCGGTAAATCCCTGTAGTTACGCCAATCATAGACAGAGAATGGAAAATGAAAAAAAAAAACAGCAAAGACATGGTAAAAGTACAAGAAAATGGTCACAAGGTGTTGATACATGTCGTTGGAGATAGCTGAGGGGGCGGATTCGTTTGGTCGATTAGGCCTTCTTCTCCGGCTCGCCGGACTGCTGCTCCTCGCTGGGAGCACCGCCGAACCAGCCAAAGACGGAGCTCTGCATGTTCTTCATCATCTCCTTCTGGGCCTTCTCCTGGGCCTCCTGCTCCATCTTGAGCCACATCTCGCCGTTCTTCTTGATCTCCTCCTCCATGGCCAGGTAGTTGCGCATGCCGCGCTCGCGGGCAATATCCTGGATCATCTTGCCCTTGGCAAAAGCCTCGGAAGGATCCTCCTCGCCCTCCATGGCCACGGGGTTCAGCTTGCTAGGCTTGATACCGAAGCGGGCGCCAAGCGAGCCCAGGCCAGCCTTCTTGGCCTTGGAGGCAACGAGCTTGTTGTGCTCAGCACGGGCAATGGCCTCTCTACGGGCGAACTCGGTGGGGATGTGCTGGCCCTCGAAGGACTTGAGGACCTTGCGAACATCGGGGTAGTTCATGGTGTGGATGAACTCAAGGAAGGGGACGAGGGACACGAGCTCGGTGTCCTTAGGATCACCCTTCCACTTGGGGAGGATGATGGCGTTCTCGGGCTGGGCGCGCACGTGCTTGGGGTCGGTATCAATGATGATGACCTTGGACAAGTCTCTGTTCAGATAAGAAAGGTCCTGTGCGACAATGGTTGGTTAGCTACTGTGACGGTGCAATCTTGATGGATGGTCCTACCTTGACGATCTCGCCATCCTTGTACTTGGTAGCCTCCCTGAAGAGGGGCCACATGATGAAGCGGTACGGGTCCATCTTGCGAACAATAGGCTCAGCGTTGGCAAAGGGAACGCTGGTGAAGAGAACGATCTCGTAGTACTGGCTGAGGTAGCGCAAGAAGTAGTCGACACCGGGACGCTTGGCGAGACGCCAGCCGTGGTCGCGCGTCCACTCGCTATGCACCAGCATATCTTCCAGACTGATAGCGAGGGTGTACGGGCGCTCGAAGGACGGATCCGGGTCGGGTAGCAGCTTCTCGAAGGCGGGTTCCTGGTAGTAGTCGACGGTTCCAGTCATCCTGGCCTTGGCTCTCTTCCACCATAAGCCGAGACCCCAGCCATTTGGTATATCTTGGTGCTTCTCAATCTCCTCCTCATCCCATTCCCTTCCCAAGTAGACGGTTCCACCAACCAAGGCAAGACCAGAGGCAATGAAGGCCCAGTTGGCCATCTTTTGGCGGCGCTTCTCGGTAGAAGAAACGTAGGCGGAATCGGGGAGCTGGCCCTTCTTGCGACCACCACCGCTTCCCGATGTCGCAGCCTCGGCGCCCTCAGCGCCCTCGGCCTGTGTCTCTGCCTCCTCACCGGCGACCGGCTTCTTGCCGGCCTCCTTCTGGGCCATCTCATACTCTAGGGTAGTGGGAATGCCACCTCTTAGATCGGGGAGCTTGGACAGGTCGATTTCGGGTTCGGGTTCGGATTCGGTAGGGGTTTGCTGCTGCTGCTGCTTCTGCTCAGCCTTGTCGGCGGGGAGTTCGGATTCGGCGGGCTCGGGGGCCTTGGGAGTGGCCTTGGGAGTGGCCTTTTGTGCGGGAGTGCTCTCGGGCTTGGTGAACTTGGGAGGCTTGTTGTCGTTGGCCATGGAGCGGGCCCAGACGGCGGGCAGAGTGCGCTGCGACAGGAGAGGCGACGCCGCGTGAGCTGCGACACGCGCGCCCGCAATGGAGCGCACGGCAGCTCTGGACAGCATCATGACTGATATTTGGTTGGACACACGAAGAGCAGCTGTTTGGAGCTGTGTGGTGTCGAGTGTCCCCTTGGTGGTGGAAAGGTGGATGGCTGCGGGAGGGGGAGGAGCTGGTTGCTACCTAGGTGGTGGAAATAAGTGATGATAACAGCAGGATAACTGAAAGTCAGGCCGTCGCAGTCAGTCGCACTCAGTCAGTATCCGCTGGGCCCGATAGCGATATGATATCCAAACTTTCCAAAGAGCTCCCGGCCGGCTGCCCGCCAAAAAAAACTTGAGTCCTGATCCTTCCGTCACAGTGTCGCTTGTTAAGCTCCAGCCTTGGCGCGCTCCTTCTGGTCCAATCACACACATGGAAGAGGGCCGGTTGCTGGATCTTCCAAGGCCGCAGTGCACAGACCAACGAGTTCTTTCAAGAGTTCTTTGTCCCCGGCCCCAACGGCCCCACGCGCGGAGTTAAACAGCTTCAAGACAGTGGGGGACATGTCGTCATCTTGAAGATTGGCTGCATGGGATCATGGGTGAAGCTTTGAAGTCTTTGATCCCAATTCGTATCGCAACTCCAAAGCCTTGAGATTGAAGTCCTTCATCTCATCTTAAGCGGATCATGAAAACAGGTGAAAGCGTTGACCGGGTTCAAGTTTCAATCAGGCTTTGACAGATGCTCAAGGGACTGCCGACGTCGAAAAAGTCACGCGACAGGAACCCTCTATGTACGCGCATTGCACCTACAGATCAGTAAATGTTTCGGGGAAGTGAGCGAGTGCGATTTTGTACACGACAAGGAAATTACAATTTGGATAAGTATCGGACATTAGACGTGTATGATTGACTCTTTCACCAGGCTCTTCCAAATCCTTCAGATCACTCTGCTCTTCTCCCAATTACACATTTGTTACCCAACCGGACGTTTGGGTGACTTGACGACTTTACAAAGTCCCAGGTGAGCCAAATGTCCAAATGTGTCGTTCAAGAGGAGTTCATCGTGACCACTAGATATCTTTCTGTTACCGTACAGTACTTCTTGCTGGCGATTAATTGTAACAAGCCCACACGCCTACCCCTAACCCTGTAGGCGTTACTGTACAGCTTATGTAATGCATCACTCTTGGACGGAACGTCTGCACAGCGCTGCCGCGAGTGATCTCGTGCGTAACAATGACCCGTGTTTTGCTGTGACGAACTGTCCATCTTGAATCCAACCATTCAACATCATCCATTGTCTTCCCCTCATCTGCACTCTCGGTAGGTGACTACTTCTTGCTCGTTTCTGCGTCGTTCTGCCGAGGCGGAATCGATCGATACATACATTTGACGATACTTCTTAACTCTTGCATATTCCCGGCTCTTCTCTTCTGCTTCCACTCTTCTCTCACTCCCGTCTTCTCTGTGTCTTCTGGAACAAAATCATCCAACTCTCAGACGGCTGCGGTGCTCCACACAAGTCCACTCCTTCTCCGCCACCCAAACCGTCTATTATCAATCATCAAAAAAGTCCAGCCTGCGCTCTGTCACTTACCATTCCAACTGTCGCCGCCCACCATGGCTTCCGCGAATGCATTCTAGAGGGTGGTCCAGTCGTTGCGCATTCAGTACTCACGATGGGACCACCCTCTCAGAGTTCTGCATCTTCAACCACAGCCTAGATCTACTACTATCGTCGACGCATCGAGCCTAAAGCCAAGAGTTATATTTTATCCTTCCAGTATTCTACAATATCCACTTCCATCCATCTCTCACAACTTCGACATCCAACTTTGCCACCCAGCGTTCCGAAAGTGCAGTGGCGCCAGTCAGCCCTACAGACTGCTTATTTAGTGTTTTGCCAGGATCACGATATCATATCACTACAACCTCTACCTACCGTATCTCTCAACCCTCCTTCGCCTGCCCCGTCGTTAGACGACCTACGCCACAATGCCTCGCAGAGCCACCCAACAATTGGTGGGGCGTAGAGTCACCACAAGGACGTCCCGCACCGTCGCGACCGTCGTGGACAACTCGCTTCATGCCCCTCCGACTCCGATCCCCTCTAACCTCAACACCCCGCTGAGTTCTGCCTATCCGTCAACCTATGCCTCCGAGACTGAGGGGGACGTTGACGGGGAGATCGGCGGAGAAGTCGATGAGGATGTCGCCAAAGCCATGGGCGCATTAACCTTGACTGGCTCTTCCGAAGCGACTGGTGAAGCTTCTGCTCCCCCGAAACCTCTATCCAGACTAGCCAGAAGAAAAGAAAAGCCGTTTCCCTTCCTAGAGCTGCCGGCCGAGTTACGAGTTAAGATCTACGAATACTTCTTCGACGACACCCACTACGTTCTCGACCTGGACCCGGACAACTACAAGCGCATCCACAAGAAGCTGGGCTTCTTCCGCACCTGTCGGACCATCAGCCTCGAGGCCGGCTACCTCTTCTACAGCACCCACACCTTCCGCATCTTCCCCACGCACCCGGGCAAGCACTTCAAGACCAAGAAGCCTCTGCTCGCGCGCATGAGCGCCCGCCAGCGCTCCTGGATCACCAGCCTCGAGATGCGCCTCGGCCCCGGCTGGAACAAGCCCCCGCGCGGCTGGGTCGTCAACCCGGCCCTGGGCCTGCACGAGTGCACCAGCGTGCGCAAGCTGACCGTCTTCGTCGAGTGCGACCCCAGCGACGGCATTTTTAACGGCTTCCGTCGCGCTGACGACTTTTACGAGGGCTTCTCCCGTGGTCTGCTGACGGACGTGCTAACTGAAATGCCGCTCGTCGACCACGTTACTTTTGACGCCTGGAGCAGCGTCCGGAAGAAGGGCGCCATGATGCGCGGGCTGATCAACACGGTGCTGTCGCATGGAAAGCAGATTCAGTGGGGCCCAGAGAGGGGCTGGACTGATTTGGATGATGAAGAGGATATTGTGGTTCCTACGAATGATATGGTGGCTACTGCGCTGCTCAATGGCGTCGGTATGGATGTTGTCATCGTTGCTTGAAGTGCAAGGATGTGTTAAACAGTGAATGGCATGATAAGTGGTTTGGGAGCATATGTTTGGGTTGGGGCAGGCGTTTTTGGGTTGGTTTGAAAATGCATTGCGAATTGCTTTTTATCTGGGAGTTGGTTGTATGATATGAAGAGCGAATGATCATGACGGTCGCTACTCAGTCTGTTCGGAGAAAGTCAAAGTGTGTTCTTTCCACTCACGTTGCGTTCTCGGGGGTTGGCAAGTGTTGGGGTATCGCTGAAAGGTCAACGTATGGAATGTCCTTGTTGTTCTTTCGATCTTGACTTTCTGTTTCGTCGCGAACCCTATAGCTCTTGAAAAGTTCTCGAAAAGACTTAACAAACAGCAAAACATTCGTTCAGTCCGATCTTCGAAGAAAACAGTGAGTTCTCATATGTGTGTCAGCACGCCAACATCAAAGTTCTGAAATGGCCTCAAATTGCACTTCAACACCTCCAACCAGATACTAGCTAAAACCGCGTCCGTCTTTGCAAATGTTCAATACTTCTTCTTGAACAGGAGGCAGAAGCGGATTGGCGGGAGGACGTATCACCCATAATGTTTTGGTGTTGGAGAGAGAATGGTGTTAGAGAGGGTTTGGGTTAGGCGAACTATCGATACGAACTTGAGGTTTGCTTGGCTGAGAAAGTGAAGAAACTCACCAAATTATCGAGTCCTCCCTGGCGAGTTCATCTTCAGTTTCCAGAAGATCTTGTGACATGCTATACATGCAAAGCGTTTCGTCGACGACCAGACTAGAGCCAAGGAAACCTGCTCATGACCATATCTCAATCGCACGCCACCTGTTCAATCTTGTTTTTGCGTATTCCAGAAGAACAATACAGAAGCCAGCCAGCAAGCAGCAATGAGCAGATCACAAGTTGGAATAACGGCCATCAAGGCCATGAGGGTTATATAGACGCTATGATGCATATGCTGACAGAGAGAATCCTAATCCAACTTGTCCTCTATCCAAAAGAAACCCGGTACCCCCATATCATCCCCAACATCAAACATCAAAAAACATCACGACTTTTCATAATCCAACCTCTTCTTCGCCTCACTCCACAACTGCTGATCGGGCGTCACACCCCTCCTCCCCTCCTCCTTATACATCCTCCTCCTCGACTTTGACCTCGTCCGATCCTTCACCACCGCGTTACGATCACGGCTTTTCCCCCTTTCATCCCTATGCCTCTCTCCTTCCCTGTGCCTTTCATGCCTCTCACTCCTCTCACTCGTCGTCATCCTCCGTCTATATTTCCTTCCACCAACCATCCTCCTCAACCCCCTCACAACAATCCTATCAACATCCACCCCGAACCACCCCGCCACTCCCGCGGCAGCCAACAACACCGCCCCCAGAACCACAAAGAAATCCATAAAATGCACCACCCACCACAAATGCTGCGTGCCCATCGGACACGTCGCATACTCGGCCTTCCACTCCCACTCCTCTTCGTCGAACCAGACGCTGAGCAATCCAGCGTTCCCACCAAACTCGCCCATCATGCTTCGCACCGTCACCTCCCTCACGCCCGGCATATCCTCACGGCCGATAAGCGCCTCCTTCTTCGCTTGCTTGTACCGTTTCACTTCCCACTCCCTCTGTTTTCTTTCAATTTCGAATTCACCGTCTTCCGCACCTTGCACGAGGGTTTCTTCCTCGACGAAAGACTGGTTGATATAATGCCACGTATCGCACCCTTCATGGTCGTGACCGTTCAAGATAATGCCTCGTCGACCCTGGCCGTTACCGGGGGCGTCTTTGTTCCCCGCCATTCCCAGGATCCCTTCCAGAAACCCCTTGCTGGCCGCCAAGCTAAGCTGGTTCTGCTCCTTCAGCGTGCCGTCGTGGTCGTGGAAGGTGAACAGCGGCGAATCGACGCAGACGCCGTCGGGCTTGTACAGCGGCACGTGCGTGAGCACCAAGGTGAAGTGGCCCTTGAACTGCACCGCGCTGGCGGTGTTGATGACGCTGTTAATGAAGGAGTAGGTGTCGTCCTGGAGTTCGGGCGACAAAGCGGGCGTGTCGAGGTTCATGTCGTTGAGCACGACGAGACGGAGTTCGGGCACGAGCCGGTCGGAGAGCGGGTTGTCGAGGGCGTCGAAGAGGGTGTTGGTAAGGGATTTGTTGGTTAAGGGCAGCTCGAAGCGGAGTTCGTAGTTGACCTTGCCGAAGGCGTCTTCGAAGCGCGCGGTAAGGTTGGTGTTGATGTCGCCTGCGTACCCGATGTCGTGGTTACCCGCTACGTTGATGATGCGCTTGGTCCAGACGGAAGAGTCGTTGGCGGGCCCGCTGGTCGAAAGGTAGCCGGTTAGGTCGTACTCGTCGGCGGGGAACATGGCGACGTCGTCGGGCACGCGCTCGCCGCCTTTGAGGACGCGGTTCCAGAAGCGGTGGGCGCGCCAGTAGAATTCATCGTCCGTGACCCATTGGCTGCCGAGCAGGTCGCCGAGAACGGTGACGTGCGTCGGGCGCGACCACCAGTGTAGCGTGCGGTAGATGTGGGCGAGGTAGTAGTCGTTGCCCCAGTGGTCGAAGCGCTTGCGGTAGGACTCGGCGAGGTTGAAGACGTCTTCAAAGAAAATGTCGACGATCTCGTGGAAGCACTGGCGGAGGCGCCATCGCAAAGAGGCGTGGCTGGTCTGGAAGGTCAGGTGGCGGAAGAGGCTCTTGACGTGCGGGAAGACGCCCAGGTACTCGGTCGGGATCGAGGTGTCGCCTTCGAGCTGCGGGTCGCCGAGCGCGAGGAGACGGAACGGCGCAAGCGGTCGCGAAGGTGTGACGGCGGGTGTCGAGGTAGGGTCGGTTTCGTCCACGGGCACAGGCGGTAGCGAAAGGTGCAACTTAACCGTCTCGAGGAAGGCATGGTAGCCCGTGTCGGCGGGCGCATTATGTTGGACAGGCGGCAACGGAAAGGCGCATTTTCCGAAGAAGGGGAAGAAGTATAGGTATATCGTCAGAGCAAGGGAGATGGGGAGGAAGATGCGCAAGCCCTTGCGGAGGGTCGCCGTCGGGGACCAGGAAAGTTGCGACATTGGATGTTGACTATCGCGACATGGGGGAAAAGGGTATATAGGTTATGGACCAAAAAAAGAGAAAGAAGAAGCAAAAACACAATGCCCTAAAAACAGGCCTCAAACGAGAGTTCTGAAGAGTCCAGTGTCGGATGTCTGTTGTTTGTGAGAATTCCCGATATGGAGACGGAAAAAGGAGTCAACAAATTGCGCCGCATGAGAGCGTGTCGGCGATGCTCCAGTCGTGTTTCGCCAATTTTCAGGTGAAGAATGCCAAGAGTTGGGGGAATTTGCCGGCGGCAACTGCACTGGAACGTCATGGCTCAACTCCACTGCATGCCCCTGAATTGGAGTTCCCCAGATCCCCGTACTAAAAGAGGGGGGGTCCGGCCAACGGTTGCTCAATCATTGACTTTTTAAGACGTTTGCACCTGCCTCGATGGCCATTGAACAGCAGAATGACCATTTAATCTCTTCCAACGTTTAATATTTCCAAACGTTTGAGTTTTATCAGCGGTTAATGAATAGTTGAATGACGGTAATTATACAGTTTTAAGCTGCTATATATCTAAGAGAATGAACGTTGGGGTCTGTTAAACGTGGGTACAAATTCACGGATTGAGCAACCGTTGAAATTTTTAGCAACGGTAAAATTACTATTGATACAGCGTTGGCCAGACACACCCCCCTTCCGTACGGCCACATAAGGGGTCCAGATCTTGTCAGACCCAAGAGTTCGTCAACATGGGGGTCGTTCTCCTTCTTCCTCGAGAATCAAGAAGTGAATTCTAGTGGATGATGGTTCCCCCTCAACAAAAAGTGCTTTGATCGCCTTGAAGGCTTTGGAAAGTGACAAGATCAGACAGATCATCTCACCGGTGGCATCATCAAGTCAATCCGAGACATTGTCCGTGATTGTGTAGCTGCCAACGGCTCCGTGGCCCGGCAAGCAGAGTCAGTCCAACTGATGTGCAAGTTTCAAACTTTCAAGCACCGCCTTCCCGCTCTGCTACTGGCCGGTAACTCATCGACTTCCTTCCTTATATCCACGGGGGGGTCATCGGCCTTGTGTGTCCTGATGCAAAGTCCCTCTCCTCCACACGGTCCCGTAGAGGCCGAGCTCCATCTTGCAATGTTGACTTTGTAGCAGTGTAAAGGAAAAATCAGTGGTTCTGGACCTTCTGTTTTCCGTCGGACAACACAGATCAGAGACAGCTGAAGGTGTACGCAAAGAGTGGCACCAATCAGTTTACACCTAGATCGGTCCTACACAGAGCTTTGCACTTGTTGCCTTATCAGTTGTGTGTGTAGGAGAGAAACATGAGGGAGTGAGGTAGAAGTCATGATGATATCGAAGCATAATAAGCTCCCGGGAGCCGTCTTCCCTGCGGCTTGACTTCTGGAAGTCTTTTAACAGATTCGAAACACTCAGAAAACGTGGATTTTGATACGAACTCTCCGAAACAGTGCTCACGATGAAGATCCTGCCCAAGCTTTTGTTTGCGGCACTGCTGTTCTTGGGTGCGGTCCATGGACTGGTCACTGAACCCGTTGGAGAGCTGGACAATGCCGAGCCCACGGGACATAACGAAACCGCCTTCGGAGGATGCACACGCGTGAGTGAATCTTCTGCTGTCTTGGTCCAAGTACCCGCCCAGTGCTAATGCTGCCTCAAGTGGTATATGACACCAGGAACCCACCCGCTCGACATGGACTTCATAGCAGAATGCCAGACGGAAGATGGTTCATATCTGAAGTCACGGCAGTACCTCGGACAGTGCATCGCCAACGTCGGTGGTTTTCTGATCATGCAAGACAAGTAAGTTTTTTTTTTTGACCCTTCAATCACGGTAGATAACTGACGAGAATCCGTTAGTGGATGGTTTGGTAGTACATGCGGCGATTGCTGGCTCGGTCCCGATCCCCAAGGGGAATTGGGTATGTTTACATGGCTTCACTGCAACTGCTACGATGGCGAGAGGTGGGGAGACACCTACATAAATCTTGGTAAGTAACCTTTTGAGCTTGGCCTTGACATGTTACTGACAAGAATCTTCTAGATGCTGTTATCACCAATTTTCATGGTTTGCTCAGTTGCCTCGGTCACGTTGCGGTGCTGGCCTGATAGGAGGGAAAGAAGTGGTGGGCTAGGGTGTCTTTGTAGTCTGGAGTCATCACAAGTTCTGCCTTTTAGCTGTTGTTTGGGTAGTGGGAAAAGATAAACTAATTCAAGATAGGGGTGGCCAGAGGTGGAAGGATGTTCTACCTTGGACTTTTCAGATACCGATCTAAAGCCAGTGGGATACATGTCAGCTACATGTATGATGTATCCTTTTCCCATAGCCGAACCGCCTTTTTCATTTCTGCCCAATATCTTCAACCTGAACGCCGATCTTGCCGCCATGACGCCAGAAGCCCTTATGACGATCTCAAAAATCATCCACTGCGCCGCGAAAACGCCTTTTTATGTGCCCTTCCATAGCTTAGTACTCCTCATCATAGTCCTCCAACTGCGGAACAGTGACATCAAACGTCACATTGCCCTCCGTCTCGGGGTCAACCAGCGCAAAAGCCACAGCGCTCACATCGGCAAGCTTGGCAGATTCTACCGTGTCCTCGTCTTCCACCTTTAGCCTCTTCCACCCGTGGCCCAAGTCCCCATTAGGGTTTCGTGGGATGCCATAGACGACCTTAACATCGCCTTCGGGGAGAGGGACCGGTTCGGAGTCGACGCTGAATGTAAGACCGTTGGGGTAGCGGTCGTGGAGAATCTGGAGAAGCTCTTCGGACACCTTGGCAAAGGTCCAATCTAGCATGACGAAGAGGAAGATAGTGTGGATGCCGCATTTGAGGCGGAGGGTGATGCGGGGGTCATCGACCGGATTGTTGGTGGTGCGAGGCTGGTACGACAGTGGTGGTTAGCATGTTGGAGGGGAGCCCACCGGGGATGGAGTTTTCTTACCATTGCGACTTCTTAGCTTTGACGATATTGAAGTCTTTTTTACGGAGTACGTACGCAGAAGAGGGAATAATCCTGACAGACAAGGGATGCAAACAATGGTCAGCGGGGTGGCCCTGATGACGTTGGTCGGGTGGGTTGGAGATAGACGCGATCCGACCCGCTTTCTCCGCGTTTTGGAGGGGAAGCTAGAAGGGAGCTCGGGCCACCTCCAATCTCTGATATCCACATGCAGGCATGCAGCCGGCTTCAAGCAGTTCGTCAAACTGGACATTTTCTCCAGTGACACTGATCCAGTTGCCTTTCCCTGTCCAACCTGGTGCATCGCCAACGAACAGCGCAAACACCTTGACGTCTTTATCGGCTCGAGCTGCCCCAATTGAACTCTACAACTTTCTACAACTTATTCCGACAGCACATCACGACAGCAGACTGCGATACCACACCCGATACTGGTCAACATGTCAACCACCAAAGAAACAAAGGCCGCCGTGCCAGAGCCCGTCCCCGAATACGTTACCAAATGTCGTCTTTCTATTCCAGATGCCGTACGAATCCCCCTTGCGTCTAGTACCGCTTTGCTCATTGGCTTCACGCTCGGAGTGAGCCAGGGCATCAAGACAGCCGGTATGCGCTTTCGCGCCGAACACGCCCACAAGCTGCCGACCACCAAGATGGGATGGTACTTCTACCACAAGAGCAAGAACTACAACTCCATCTGGGGCGGTGCCAAGGAGGGTGCCAGGATGGGAGCCAAGATTTGCTTCTGGACAACAGCGATGTTTGGTATCGAGCACATGTTTGACGCCTATCGCGGGACGGCCGACATCTTCAACACTGTAACCGCCTGTGTGACTGTTTCGGGAGCCTTCAGTCTATGGAGTACGTGATCGCCTGTCCTAGATCTTGCGCATCAAACGCTAACTATGACTTCCTCATACAGATCGCTTCTCTTTGCCCATGGCGGCCCGGACAACCAAAACCGCCCTGGTCGTAGGTCTCGCATACGGAGGCTTGCAGGATGTAGCTGGTATCGTAAGAGGTCGACCCATCGGATATTTCGAATTCCTCAAGCGCCGCGTTGGTGGCTTTAAGAATGCGGCGGACGAGAACCAGAAGGAGCGGGTGATTTAAAGACGATAAGTCCAATCCCTTCGGCCCACACCTTCGCCCAAAGGTGCAACCCAATTCGATCGGTGAAGAAATACGAATCACAACGTTGGTTACTTCTCAGTGTTACCAACACGTCCGATCTCGGAAGCCCCAGATGCTCCGCAACGGTTATTCAAGGTCGAAACAACACAACCCCTGCAACGTATCAGACAAGTCGGGTTACTGCTGCATTTTTATGACAAACCACAGGACCCTCAATATGGGATTCCAACATGGCGCCCGCATCAGCCGCACTGGATTCTAGAAAGATACCGGCGTTCATCCGCCGAGTTATGCGCACGAGTCATCATGATTGGCCAGTACGTATCGAAACTTTCCAACATCGGCATTGGATCTCGAAGAGTCGGCGGCTTAGACTTCGGGGTAAAGGTACCAGCTGATGGATGTTTGGGAACGCTCTGGAATGCTTGGATCGGAACTGTTACGGCATCCAACCCCACTCGCCAATTCGTCCTGTCCAGGCGAGCTCTAGCCTCGGCAAGCATGCATCGTCGGGGTATCTTTGGCGAGACAGGGCTGGGAGGACCAATTGTTGTCCAATCATCAAGGGGCATCAAAGGGGGGGACGTCACTCCGCCTAATCTCCCCTCAGATCACCCCCCAGCAGATCGCGGCTACTGGCGGCCTTTGGGGGCGGCCACGTGACGCCTGATAAGAAGCAAGCGCAATGATGCCAATGGCTGCATACCATCCCGCCGCATCATCGCCCTCGTCAACGAACCTTGACAAAGGAAGATCGGGGGTGGTTGTCCCAGAGATAGCAAATCGGCTTGTACTTTGTCCTCTGCCGGTCCCTACGCCGCTACTTGGAGGATGGATCTGGTACGTTCTATTTGCTAGCGGTCCAGCCCTCCCAGGGGCGAGCCCCAGATAAAGATGAGACGACGGTTTGTGGTATGTGTCAGGTATTTCCGAAGAACGCATGGTGGTTGATTGTCCGAAGTCAAGCTGCGTTTATATATCCCATAGTCATAACCTCTTGTCTGTTTCCCTCAATACTTGCTTCTCTTTGTCTGGTCCCATCCCAGTACTTCCGTCCCACAAAGCATCCAACCTCGTACTGACTGCAATATGTTTCCGACTTCCAGATCACCTGCCAGCAGGCAGTTGGTTTGCAACATAGGACATGCTCGGGCAAGAACCATTGCTTCGTCCCTTGGACCTGCCGTGGCTTCCATCTCATATCAGCATGTCTCACATTCAACTTCACCGGTCGGGCGTGTCAACAGCGTCGGGAGGACATATTCAACACGACTTATACACTCCTCCACCAACCGACCTAAGTCTACCGACCACCTAACCATCGACAACGCATCATCATTATCAGCAACAGACGAACCTCAGCCCAGCGAGATGCCCAAGACTTCTTCACCACTGGCAGTACTGCCACTAACGAACGTCCTCCGATCATGGATGACCACCACCGTCTCGTCCTCGCCCTTCCTTCTACCGCCCTCACTATCCATCATGTCCGTCCTAGCCCACACCACAAACCCAGCCCTCAACCCAGACCGAAACCCCCTCCTCCGCGCCTTCCTCAAGAAGACCTTCTACGCCCAATTCTGCGCCGGCGAGAACCCGGCTGAGGTCCGCCAAACCATAGACTCACTCAAGCAAATCGGCTTCAGTGGTGTCATCCTCGGTTACGCCCGCGAAGTCGTCCTCACCGATTCTGAGACCAAAGACCTCGCCTCATGCGCGGCCGACGGCGCCGCTGCGGAGGAGTGCATTCGCACGGAAGTCAACCCCTGGGCCGAAGGCACTATGGAGACAGTCCGCCTCGCCTCTCCCGGCGATTTCGTAGCGCTCAAATTCACCGGCGCCGGCCGCCAGGCCCTCTACTCTCTCTCCAAACGCCTCCCGCCCTCCGAGGCCCTAGGCTCCGCCATCAACGGGATCTGCAAGCTCGCCGCCGAGCGGGGCGTCCGCCTCCTCTTCGACGCCGAACAGACCGCTCTGCAGCCTGGCATCGACGACTGGACGCTCGACTACATGCGCCTCTACAACAAATCCGGCACCGGCGGAAACGCAGTAGTCTACGGCACTTACCAAGCCTACCTCAAATCCACACCCTCTCTGCTCTCAAAGCACCTCGCCATCGCCGCCACCGAAGGCTTCACCCTCGGCGTGAAGCTCGTTCGCGGCGCTTACCTGGGTGCCGATCCTAGACATCTCATCTGCGACACCAAGGCCGACACGGATAGCCAGTACGATGGGATTGCCGAGTCTTTACTCCGCAAGAGCTGGTCCGGCGGTCCCTTACAACCTCCCGCTCCCGCTGCTCCAGGATCTGCTGCTGAAAAGGACACAACAAACTTCCCCGACGTGAACGTCGTCCTAGCCACGCACAACCGCGAATCAGTACTCAAGGGCAAAGCCCTTCTCGACAGCGGCGTGGCCAAACTGGGGTATGAAGAAGTGGCGTTTGCCCAGTTGCAGGGGATGGCGGATGAAGTTAGTTGTGAGCTTGTTGCTGGGCCTCATGAATCTCCCAAGGAGATGGAGATGGTCGAGAATGGAAAGGAGAAGGTGAAAGTGAACAAGCCGCAGGTGTACAAGTACCTGGTGTGGGGATCGACGGGGGAGTGTATGAAGTATTTGCTGCGGAGGGCTTATGAGAATCGGGATGCGGTGCAGAGGACGAGGAGTGGACGGGAGGCGATGGGCAGGGAGGTTGGGAGGAGGGTGAAGGGGCTGTTTGGGGTTTCTTCTTCTTAACTTCTAGAAGGTTGGGGAAGCTTGATTAAGAGGGATCCTGTCTGGGGAGCAATGAGCAATTGAGTTCCATTCAGCTCCCAAGGTGTGAGCGTTACGTATCCGTTTCTGGGGATCACATCATTTCTGGCGTATTGCGTGGGTTTTGTTTAGGTTTGGCTAGGTTTGGTCTTAGCGTGGGTAGATATCTGCTTGACAGATAAAGATAAACAGATATTTGAGTCGTGAATTACATACAGTATCTGAACTTGAATCATCTCGATTTCCCTCTCCCGCCCGCCCACATGTCTTGATGACACTGCTGAGGTATATCAGACACAGCTCCCCTATATCAACACCCCGTGACTAACACCGTCCTTTCCCCAGGCGTGACCAGTTCACTAGAGAGAGCCCTTAGCCTCCCAAAGCAAGCACCAGACCAGGACAGCTGCCTGATATTCCTGGACCTGGACTAGAATCTGGACTAGAACCTGGACTAGAATGTGGACTAGAACCTGGACTAGAATCTGGACTAGAACCTGAACCTGAACCTGAACCTGGTACTTCAGCGGCTGAGTCTTGATCCCGATCGAAGAATCCCGGCAGCCGCGAGTCGGCGCTGTATGTTGTATAAGTGGATAGCGGTATATAAGGTCGACAGGTCGGATGAACAAACCTGTCGAGCGGTTGCATGTGCTTCGGGACGAGCTGAGCGGCCGGGTTAACGTAGCGGTTCCTGGTTTGATTTCGGGGTTGGGGTTTTTGTTTTTTTTTTCTTTTCCTTTTGTTCTCTTGGACGACCGTTTGCAGGACTTTTCCCTTTTGTTAATTGCGTCTTTTGCAGGCATTTCTCCAACATTTCGCCCAGGGGCCGTAAATACTTGATTCGTTTCTTGTCATTGAAGTGCCATTCATTCCACATCCCGCTCCTCCTACCCAACCAAGTCTATCTTTCTCCATCATCCACTTGCTGAACTGGGTCGTTGCCCAACCTCTTATTTTCCTTTTTACTTTCACACCCCCAATTTCTTCTTGTTCTTTCCTCTTCTTCTTTTCCCTCCGTAACCCCTTGCCTCATCTACAACCCCCTCAACGCAATCCCACTAACAACTAACCCCTCCATCTCCCTCCTCCTCCCCTCCTCATCCGCCTTGTCTATCCTCTCCACCCCCGGCACACCATTCAACTTGTAATACTTGCGCACTTTTTGCCAATCGGTCGACTTGGCCAGCTCTTCGTCCGTTAGGGGTACGGGCTTTCCTTGGATGTGGGTGGTCAGGTGTTGCCATATGCTTGCTGGTGTCGGTACTTCGTTGGTGATTGTGGAGTTTTCGGAGGAGAGTTTGGGGTAGACGACTTTGATGACTAGGACGTCGCGCGTTTTGGAGGGGGTTAGACCGTAGCGGCGGTAGGATTCGGAGATCTGGTTTTTTGTTGTTGTAATGGTTAGTTTTCTTGTTATTATTCAAAGGGGGGTGGAAGTGCGTCGTAAAAACTGGGAGGGAAAACGAACGTTGTTAGTAGGACTTAGGCCAATGACAATGTCAGAGTGGACGTTGGGCGTCTGGAGTGTGCCCTCTGTCAAGGTATTGAGCGCGCGGAAGATGGCGGCGAGCAGGTGTGTGCGGGAGATGATGACCGAGGCGTCGATGAAGGCGTACTCAAACTCGGGGTTCTTGCCGATCAGCTGGGCTTGGAGGAAGTCGACGTTTTGGACGTCGCGAAATAGGGCGGCGTAGACGTGGTGGTCCGAGGGAACGTGCTCGATTTGAAGGGTTTCGAGCGCCATTGCGATGGCTTGTGTTGTCTTTCTGATCGTGATGGTGGTGGTGGTTGTGGGTGAAGATGGAATGCGACTGATTGTGCTCGACCCTTTGAGTGTTGTGAGTGGTTGCTGGGTAGATTATGCCGGTAGGGTTGACTTGAGATCGAGAAGTTCGCTTGGGTGCCGTACTTTTTGGTTGATTACCGTGACACTATTCTGATAAAAACAGGCGAAAGTCGAATACGACGGCGAATGCACCATCCTGTCAACGGCGGGATCTCCATGGCGGGGCAGATCCCCGCCGGGGCGCGTCGCGCTTAAGACAGGGATTAGCACTTATTTGACCCGCGACAGCTGGTGCGGGGATGTTACAGGCCCATCCGGCCCGCCAAGATTTCAATCCCAAAAGTCCCGAACAGTGGAGTTGAGATCAACCCCTTTGAATCTTGACATGGGTTTCTGTCATAGATAATGTCCTCGTGTTTGCATACTAACAGGAAACCTCAAGTTAAGTTTTCTCTCAATTGTCACATTGATGTGCCGCTGTTCCGATTGTCTGAGTCTCTTCCATCTTGACAGCCCAGAAAGTGGAACATGGACGGGGGAGCAGCCAGCCAGCCCCAGGCCCGGCGCATTGGGCCTGCCGGGTGCGTGCAGTCGTCGAGGTTCTCACTTCTCAGTCGCAAAGTCGCATTGAGATGAACCTATGTCTTGGATTGTCCACGCTTCCCCTTGCACTGCGACGACTAGAGACGGTCTAGGTCTAGAATAAAGATCTGGGCATGTCGTTGTCGACGGAGACACGGATGTCGCGGTGCACCCTGACTTTGTGGTCCTCGGAGTTTTTGTCTTGGGAAGGGGGACCGCCTGTCACTCCAACTCCACCTCATGAGAAACAACTTGTCGGTGGGCGCATTTTGAAATGGCGAGGTGTGTTTAATATCGGATAGAAGTCGAAAAAAAGAAAAGTCAACAATAGCTTCGCTCCATCGAGGGTTATCTGCAATGATAGATACTCTTAGCCCAGCTGGACTGAACGAAGATGGAAAGCTTCTTGGATGTTTTCAGCCATGTCCTTTTGCCATGCACCGATCAATGATTGGGAATTGGACAAGACAATTCGTGAACTTGCCAAATCGGGACACTCGCAGAATGAATGGATCCCCCTCGTCGGCCCCACACCGAGTCAAGTCGAATTTGGGGAGGACGAATTGGGCCATATGGAGACCCTTTTTCCATTGCCTTTTGATGGACGATTGGAAGGCGCAATCATGGGCCGGTGAAAGGCATGTTCCTTCTTTTCTTTCAAAGGATGCGATCGACGGCTGGCCCCCCCTAGTCCGTCATTCAGTTGAATTTCTGGGCCAAACTCGATCCCGGCGCCCTGGACACCTCCATTGATTGACGCGTTCGGAACCGACATCCCTCGCTCTCCAGGAATCCAGTGCCTTCAGTGCCTCCCTACCTTTCGCTTCAAGGCTCCCGGTTGTCATTCAATTAATTGGCACGCAAACCCACCGCGCGGCAATCTCCATCGCACATCCGTCCCGTCCCTTCCATCCCATCCCTCTCTTCTCTCGACACACCACCACCACCGCCACCACCACCCAGCTTGCCCGTCGGCGCCGTCGCTCATCCGCTCGCTTGCTCACAGCGCTGCACCTCCACGGCAGAACCCGTTCCCAAGAAATCGTCAGACCGACAGCAGACCTACCGGTTCGCTGCCGACGACGCTTACTGCCATTTGGTGGTGTTAGCTTGTTGAAACTGGCTGCAACAGCGTTCCTCGGCCATCATCTCGAATCATCCCACGGACCAAGACCACAACATCGAGTCGCCGTTCGCGCTCGCTCGAGCCCCAGGTCCGGCCCGCTCTCTACCGCCTGGTCGGTGCTGGCGCAATCCACCAAATACATCTTGCTATAGTCTACAGATCCGGTCCAACTTCGAGACTCCAACATCATGCCCCCAGGCCGTCCTCCAAAACGGCCAAGCGAAGCCGGTGACGCTCCTCTCGACAATGGCTCACAACCCAAGATGAAGCTGCCCCGTCTCGAGCGCAGTACCGAAGACTTTTCAAGTGTTGTCAAGACCAAGCTCTCACAATACACGCGGACCGGTCAGGCTTGTGACAGGTGCAAGGTACTGATCCCCCGTCCTGTCGCTCTGACAGACTGCGCGTCAAACCGGCATCGCGTTCCCGTAACATACTAATTCCTGTGCGTCCCCAGGTCCGAAAAATCCGCTGCGATGCCTCCCCTGCGGGCTGCTCCCATTGCGCGAGCCAAAACATCGAATGCGTTGTAACAGACCGTGTAACGGGCCGTACCGAACGTCGAGGCTATACTCAACAACTCGAAGCCGAAAACAGCACCTTAAAAAACCACATAAAAAACCTCGAGAGAGTCCTGGCTGACAATGGAGTCGAGGTCCGGCCGTGGGAAGGGTCAAACGCTAATAGAAACCCTTACCCTCCTGGTATCACACTGGATGCCATGGGGAATCCCATCCACGATCCCATGTCCCAGGGCGAATGGCAGCAACAAGGCTCGGTGTGGGTTAGAAAGAGCAGGCAAGGGTCACAGAGCACACCAGGTCGTTATACGAGATGTTCGCTGTTGGAGTCGAGGCCGACAGAGAGTTACCTGGGCGTCACTTTGGATAGCGAACCCCTGAGTAGCATAAAGGGAACTACTTTGTCAGTTCTCGGTACTACGATTGACATTACTTCCTTCGACGCTCCTGACATGGATGAGCCCTCGCCGACTACCCCCATCGGGTCACCGTTGTACAACAAATCCGTCATGGCGTTTTACCAGTCCATGGTCAGGATAAACCCGCCAATGGAACACTGCGACCTCCCTTCGAGACACGACGCTTTTACCTATGCCGAGTGGTACTTCCTCACCATCTACCCCTTTATGCCACTCGTCCACAGGCCCTCGTTTATGCAGCTTTTGACTCGCATTTACGATGAGCCGGGCTTTAAAGCGACAGTACCTGAAATGGTAATAGTTCATTGCCTATTCGCAACGATCTACTTCCAGTTTTTTATTCGAAATCGCGAGAAGCCAGAGGACCATGCCCAACTGAATAACCTTTCCAACAAGCACTATCATTGGTGTTTGAGCAAGTTCTTTGAACTTGCCGTTTCTCAGACGGTTACCGCGGTTCAGGCTCTGGCCATGCTCGCGTCTCACACTCGCAACTTTCCCAAACCGGGATGTTCCTTCACCATTGCCAACTTTGCCATGATGAAGGCCATTGAACTCAACTTCCATCGGAGTAACAAGATACCGAATGGGGGCACAACTCTTGAAAACGAGTTGCGCAAAAGGGTGTGGTGGTCTATCCTGGGTATTATCATCACCCTGAACGGCCGACTTGGTAGGCCAATGCCCATCACTTTGGAGGAGTTCGATATTGAGTTCCCAATTGCGATCAATGACGAGTACCTCGGAGAAGATGGCGTCTTGGACCCGTCCAAGATTGGCCATTGCTGTTATCAAATTGGGCTCGCCGGCTTCAAGGCCGTTCCTCTGTTTATGGAGATGTATTCTAGCATCTACAGCGTGAGGCGAGATCCTAAGAAGTACGTCGATGTGGTTAGGGAACTCTCTCAAGCAATGGCCAAGCTTATGAATGATCTCCCCGACTGTCTGCGAGTGGAAAAGTGTCAGCCGACGGACCTGGTGTTTGCACTGTATACCCAGGCCATCAGTCTTGAGTTCAACCTGTGTCTTAGACATCCTTCGGTTTGTCTAGAAAAGGACCCGAAGTTCTGCGCTGAGAACACAAGGATCTGCGAGCAGACAGCTCGGAAGCTATTAAAGGTGGTAGGGGAGCTGTTGAAACTCAAATCGCTGGACACCACATGGTACCAGTTATCGGTATATGTTGCCTCCATGTTGTCGATATTGGTCGCGAACTGGGAGAGGAGGCATGAAATAACACATATGGAGATCGCCACTTTGAGGGCAGACATGGCGTTGGGTCTCGAGATCATCGCGGAAATTGGTCGACTAGTTGGTAAGTCTTTTCCGCCATCACCATACAAACCTGTGCTAACCTTGACAGGTACTGGGAACCGTCTAGCAACCGAGATTTCTAGTATATATGAACGAACCATCGCCTGGATCGAACGCGACATGACCCGTAAGGATGGACTGTCGGTCGATCAGACCATAATCAAACAACAATCAGCATCGCCATTTCAGCAGCCTCTCCTACCATTCAAGCAACCGCTCAACAGCAATGGTATGACGTCCAGTAACTCAGTCACACCCAACGACCACCGCAGCAGCGTCAGCACAAACGGAACCGGGTACTACGACGGCTCAGCAACCCCCTACCAAACGATGTCTCTCAACGACAACGGCGCCAACAACGGCGTCAACCTAGCTGCGTACGACCCCTCCGGCGGCAGCGCGCAATACCTATACGCAACAGCCACCCCAACCTCATCAACAGCAACCCCCCAAACCGTCACCGCAGCAATGGACCAAACCTCCGCCGGCACCAACCCCCTAATAGCCTTCGCCTCCCAAGCTACCCAGCACGTGTCCGCAACAGGTCAACCAGGTACCGGAGCTGAGGACTGGCGACCGCAAGTCCACCCACAATTCGCCACAGCAGCAGTAACTTCTAGTGTACCAAATAACAACCCCTGGCATGACTGGGCGGCAGCCATGGCTGATTCTCAAGAGCGGTACAGCGCTAGTGCGCTGCTAACCCTCGGATCAACCAGGCCGGGCGATGTATCTGGGGCAGGAATGGTCGATCATTCGCATGCGCATGTCAACGGGGGAGCTGGACATGGACCGGGAGCTGGAGGACCTGAAGCACTGGGAGTGGCGGTGTCGGCGGCGGCGGCGTCCGCGGTGGTTGGAGGTGGTGGGGGGCAGTGGCCTCTGTTGTTGTTTTCGGATGTTATTGGGAATGGAAATGGCTCGTAGGGAGGGCCGACTCTAGACGAAAAGGGGGATGGGGGTGGGAATGGGGGCGGTTCACAGGGAGGGCCTGGGACTGGGGAAGAGCAGGATGTGAAACGGCGGAATAATAAACTGGAGGTGTTGTGGGATGAAAGAGATCTGGATATTCGGATGAGCGAGTGGGTGGAAGCGTGAGTGGGATACATATAGGGGGTGGAAGGAACATTCGAGAGACGATGGACTGCTGCTGGAAATCGCATTCCTTGGGTGGCTCCTTGGTGCTGCGGTTTTGGGCCTTCTATTTGCGGTATTCTTACGTCTTGGGTCAGATCACTTTTTGTATTGGTGTTTTATCTCTGGGCCTTGCAAAAAAAGGTACTAGGAAAAGCGAGGTGTTTGGGAGTTGGCGGTAGGATCCGGTCTGGTCTGGTCTGGTCTGGTCTGGTTTAATCTTGGAAGAGGTGTTTTTGGTATCTTTGGCATGGAGGGAAACGGTAATGGGAATGGCAATCGGGCGTCATATGTGTACTATTAGGTGCTGCTTTTTGTGCTCGTTTTGTTGTTTTGGGGGTTTGAGGGGTTCCATGGAATGCATTGGGAGCTTTGGAGCTTTGGAGCTAAGGATGGGTTTTTGGGTGTTGGGATCGGTGGTTGATTGTTTTTTTTTTTTTTTTTACTTTCTTTGCACATATGATATTTGGCATTCATTGAAGCCCTACTCCCTTCATCTCTTGTCTTTTGAATGCCTCTGAGGGTGGTGGTAAGTCTTCAATGACATTCGATGGCAGTGACACTAACACAGTTGATATACAGATGAGGTCGTGCATCCAGGGATCGAATCTATCTTGTGGCAAGAGTGATGAGGTAAAGTGGTACACATACCGTTGGGAGATTACTTCTCGCTGGTAGGTAGGTAGGTAGGTGTCATAGGATCTGGTGACATTGGTTTATACAATCTAGTGCTGGTTTAAGTTGTTTGTTAGCTTGGTACCTACGTACTTTTAGTCTAGTACACTAGATGAGATCTCTTCCAAATTGTCCTAAACCTTACAAGGACTAAATGAAAGGGATCAATAAAATTCAATACGGTGTATTTTACTTTAGAAAAAGCATATTTATAGTCTGAAAATGGCTAGGTACGGATCCGAAAGGCACTAACAAGATCCACTATGGTGTACTTTATTTTGAAAAAGGCATATTCATAGCATTAAAATGGCTAGGTACGGATCTGAAAGGCACTAACAAGATCTACTACGGTGTATTTTATTTTAGAAAAGACATATCCATAGTTCAAAACGCCTAGAGAAGTTGACCCGATATCTCAAACTAACAAATAAACTAGTATTGGACTATAGTATGGACTTCTGAGGTCTGCCTACCTCTAGCAAGTAGAATATGGTATATCTTTTGGTAGTTTCTCAGACTGGTCATTGTCAACCACTCCGTAATAGTAGGAAAGTATAAGTTTGTAGTATCCCTAGCGAGTAGTAGGCAAAACCATTTTTGAACCGTCTATTCACCCCGTCATCTATAGTAAATATATCGACTGCCCACCCTATCCAGATCGACTGTGTTTCCAACTTGAAAAAGCAAGGCAGTCTACGTTCACATTCTTCAATCTGAACTTTCCCACATGTCACTTGTACGTCCGGGGGTTGCTCTATATTATGACATAACAACTGATTGTCACAAGTCTTCGTTATTTGAGAGAGAGAGAGAACTTGGATCTCATCCCACAACGGAACGGAAGCGTTCCGTCATTCAGACAAGGAATTCTATCCGGAGAGTACCTAAGAGAGAATGTCATGTTGAAACGTTCGAGCTGTCATCGTGCTAATGCCTCTCAAGAAGGAAGCGAGGCATGTCGTCAAAAGTTTCTCATTCTTCTTTTCCAAACAGCTCTTACAAACCAATGGCGAATAAGTACGAACACGACTAGGATTGCACTCAAATTAGGAACGTCCTCATTAAAACTCGAACCGCGCCTAGTTCTCGCCCCGTGTCCATGTTGTAGGGTTAGAAGGGCGTTTCTAGCCCTGATGATGAGTAACTCCTGTTATAGATCTGACTGAGCGCTAGGGCCTAGAGATACAAGGAGTGGATTGTCTTTGTGAAGATGCTTGATGGTAAGAAGATATGTATGATGGATCACAGCAGTTCTAGGAAGAGTGGGAAAAAGGTTAAGATGCATCTGAGATTTGGAAAAAAAAAAAAAAAGTGAAATTAGACGGCCTTGTCCCGTTGAAGTTGGAAACGGTTCGATCTGAATGGGGTGGGGTGGGCAGTAGAGATCTGAAGACAGTATGGAAGATCTCCGCCACCCAAACACTTGGACCTGAGGGAACTCCACAGACATGTAACAGACGGGAACCAGAGTCGTGCTATGCGGCGGTCTCCATTCGGCCCATCCCGCAGTCTTTCCTTGCTACCATGCGATTTATCTGCTCTACTGTTATCTTACTGAACCCCGCCCCGGAACTTCTGTCCGGGCCCGGTGGGGGTTGCAGTCGTACTGTAGATTCGTCCCATCGAGTTCTGTATGGAGGTCAGTTGGACCGGTGTGTGAAGGAGTGAGGGTCTCCTCCAGTTCGGGAGTTTTTCGTGGTGGATTTGGTGGTAGATTGGTCACGAGGACATCGACTTCATCTGGGAGTGGGAGTCCAAGATTGAAAGTGGAGAATTAACGACTTACACGGCCCCTCCAGCCAATCAGAATGTAGAATGGAGTGGAGGGTCACTCAACGTTCCACGACACCACCGCACGGGTCGACCGTGCAGTTATCTGCGTCCCCTCTCTCTTTTGCATTTGCAGGCCGTGGGTAAAGGGTCCCTGCAGGTTATTGTGGGTAGAACGTACTAGAATCAGGAGATTATAGAGGGTAGATGGTTCGATGCGACGATTTGATGGGAATCTTGGATATTGCACGGATTGGTGTGAACTTGACTCGGCTTTTGTTCATGCCCGGTAGATTAATATTGCTTTCTGCTTTGCTTCAGATGGGGGTGAGATTGAGGACTTGGAAACACCCTTGGTGCCGGGCCGTTACGGGATACATTTAGCCGTTGAAAAGAAAGGGAATAGAAAGTGAGAAGCAGGGAGAATAAATAACAAGCGGCCCGGATGTCACACACATGGGCGGCTCCGTCCATCTTCCACATGTTTTCTTCTCGTTGAATGATAAAAGAGTTCATCAAAGTGCCCTGGTCGGTGGCCCGGTCGATTGGGAAGCAAACACACCTCTCACATCGACGTCAGTGTTGGATTAATCTGACCAATTTGTTCATCGCTTTTCATCCGATCTTTTTTCTATCCCATCCCCTCCACAATTCCACTTTACTGATTCAGATCCGACCTACGGACCCGAACGGCTCGCTCTTTCCCCAGAACATTGGGACTGTGGGATACTGGGTATAAGAGTGTGACTCGACCACCCCTCGCTGCCTATCAAACATTTAGTGCTGGACACATAACGCGACTTACGAGTAATACGTATCAACGATTCGACGAACGAAAGAACAAACAACGAAACATCAAGTTCATCAACATTACCGTCGAGAACAACATCTATCTACCACACACAGGCTTTGACAACACAAAGCAACGAAACACACATACCTTTATATCTCATAAAATGGCTTCTCCTCCAAGCCAGACCCGTCTCGACGGCTTCGACACATCCGTGAGTCCACCCTCTATTCTTCCACTCCCATCCCCTTCTCGCCAATCCACCCATCCATCTTCGTCAGTCATCACAAACTAAAAAAAAATAACTCAAGCAGTCCCTCTCCGAAAAAGACCTCCGCATCTTCCGCCTCTACGGCCGTCTCCCTTCCACCTGCACCTCCAAACCCCCAAACTCCTCCACCTTATCACGCTCCTCCTCTTCTTCTTCCTCCAGTTCCCCTTCCACCTCCCCACCCAACTCCGGCTCCTCCCTCCAACCCGCCACAACAACAACCACTGGTCCCAACGCAACCGCAAACGCAGCAACATCCCGCTTCGCCCGCCACCTCAAAGAGCGCAAATACTTTGACTCAGGCGACTACGCCCTTTCCAAAGCCGGGCGGGGGAATTCTGTGGATGTAGGGACCATTGGGTCGGCGCACCCGGCTCCCGAACAGATTCCTCATCCTAGTCCGTTGTCGATCATGCAAAGGAGGAGGGGGTCGAGTTTTTGTAGTGGGGTTAGTGGGAGTGTTGGGTTGGGGATGAGAGAGGAAGAGGAGGATGGAGGGAGGTTGGGGGAGTTATATGGTGTTGGTGTTGGGGGGTGGGGAGCATTTGGAGGGAGGTGCTGGAATGGGAATAATGGGGGGAGGTATAGGAGGTCGAGTTTGAGTGTGGCGGTTATGGGGGCTGGTGGGGGGTTTGAGGATGGGGAGGAGGGGAGGAAATGATGGGGGTGTTGGTAGAGATTGTGGTGTTGGGATGTGTTGACGGCTTCAAGTTTGATGATGACCGATGAGGTTTTGACATGGGGGAGATTTTTTTGGGTTGGGGCTTTTAGATTATCGTTGATTTGGGATGTTTGTATTATCACGGACGGGACTGTAAAGGGAAGCCGGCGTTTGGATTTATAAGGTTGGTGTTGTGGGTGGTTTCTGGTCATTTGCATCGTCGGGTTTGCGGGTAACTCATCACTAGTGTTCGGGGAGGCCAGCAAGCTGTCCTCGCCCCTTCCCTGAGGGTGTAAGGCTGGATCCAGGGTTGTGGCCCGTGTAGAGCTGGATTTAAGGATAAATTGCAATTAGAAAGTAAATAAAGAAACCTTTACCTTCAAATAAAAGTCCAAATAAGGGTATAAATAGAGGTGTAAATAGAGGTGTAAATGGAGGTGCAAATGGAGGTGCAAATGGAGGCTAGTATTCGGGGCGGCAGGAAACCTGCCGCGGCCCTTCCCAGAGCGAACGCGAACGCAAAATTTGGGGACGGAGAGTGTGCGACGCGTACGGGTTGAAAGCAGTCCTTAACAATAATTGCACAATAAATATCAGGCCTAACAATTCTTTTTGCGGATAATTTGCGGGAAAAACGGTCCGTACAGTAGCGAGATGTTAGTGCGTGCGGGGTTTTGTATGGGGACCACCCGCGAAAAGCACTACCACCCTACCCGGATTTTTTAGCGTCCGGTGAGCTGTAAGGATAGAGAGATGAGGATCATTTGTGGCTTCATGAAGGCGTTCATCGTGTAGTTTATATCCAAGTTGCGGTTGATGAACGTGTTCGTACCGGATGACTGGAAAACTGTGTCAAGTTCTGGATGGCTATTCATACCTAGTCCAACACGTTGTTGGTTTCGTGCGAAGTGCAAGTTCAATGACGGCCAAGTTTTGGGGAGCGCAGTGTTTTGCTTGTAGTGTGCTCGAATTGTAACCTACTGTTTTTCCAGCAGTCTAACCGGATAGGCAGAACGCACGTATCATTTGCATCATGTTCCTGGTCGTTCTTACCTTATCTCGCAGCGACTTTCTTCCTATCCTTCTGCGGCGTCCAAAGATATAATCCGTGTTCCTCTCCTCTTTCCCTTCTTCCACAAACACCAACGACGCGACCATGGCAGACCCGAATGTGCCTGCGTGGCTCACACCCGCCAACCTGGCGGCCATTCGTGAGCAGCCCTTTCCTCGCGTGGCTGGCTTCCCAATCTCGGTTCTGCAACGCATCTTGCAGCGTTACCCTTTCGATCCTGAGAAGGGGTTTCCGTTCACCTGGGTCTGCGTGAGTACTCTGTCCTCTCGTCGGCGTCGCGCCGCCGCTAAGCTAACCGTCGGCGACCAGATCCCCTACGAGTACCTCGGACTATTCCAACAGCACTAGCATTGCGTGTTAGATGTCATGAAGTATATTTGGAAGCACCTCGGCCACCAGCCGGAGCTGGTCGACCCCGCCACCATTGACGACCGAATCAAACTCAACATCTCCAAAGGCCGTCACCTCATCGAGGGATCTTACAATCGGTTGGCCAAACTCCTTATCGACCACCAAGCCTCCCGTTCCAAGGATGTCCACAATGGCCAAATTGTTGAGGAGTTGCGAAGCACACGACGTCTAGTCGCCGCAATCCCTACGGCCTATTTCCGTAGCTTCGACCCGGCTGTTAACTTCAACTCATACTGGCTTTCGACCACTATGTCCACCTTTGCGGAGTATCTTCCGGTCCTTGAGCAGGCCCCAGTACTCTATACGGCGTCGGCATAGCGCTTGACCAACTCGTAGGTCCCCAATTCGTTCTAGTATTCCTTGGCTTCACGCTGACTCCTCGCAGATCGATTAGCGTTCATAGGAGTTCAGTAAATCCCAACGCAAACAATGGCTCATGAAGTGGCGGAAGCGTTCCGCTCTACCTTATCACCAGGCTACTCGTGATGTTATCCACACCACTATCAATGCCGGCGTCGCGTTGCGTCCCGCGCAACCCGGACTGCGGAGTGCCATGGGACCTCGGGTCGCTCAACCAGGTCGTTCCGAGAATGGGAACGGGATATAATATTGCGAACATCCAAGGATCCCTTCTCAAGCCGACGAAACCTTTCATCCCGGAGGACAGAGTTACTAAACAAACTTCCATTTAACCATATAGATTGGACGTAGCGCCATATACTCTCCTCGATCAACAACTCCTCCTCAACCAACTACTCCTCCTCAACCGACAACTCGAGGCGGCCCAATTACTCCCCCACTCTCCACCACACGGGTTCAACCCTCTCACATATCATCATCGTCTCGCCGTTAACCTCCTCTCACCACAGCCACAAGCTGCACCCAAACACTACCAGTCACACTACTGAGAGCAAACCAGATCAGCCCAGTTTCACCCGGCACTCAGACACCGCAGCTTGCAATCACCTTGCCCATGACAGCCACACGCTTCTGAACGCTACCACCACCCATACGCTTTCAAGCGACATCACGATGAACACGCAGGAGGACATCAAACGCCAAGCCATCAGGGATCTCCTTGATGCCCAGCGCCTGGGCGGCGTTACCTGGAATACCACCGCCAAGAAGAAGCGTACAGCTAAAGACCGCGCCAAGAAAAATGACTACAACGCAATCCTGAGAATCACAGACGCCCTGAGAAGAGACATCCCGGACCCCGTTGAGTACGGAGAGGTCGCGGAGGTCATTTCCAGCTACGGAGTAGCCGAGAACGTCTCCGATAATGCATACTATCAACGGCTCCGCAGGTTTACCAACGCGCTGAGGGACGCTCGCATGGTGGGCGAAGACCTCGATTACTGCCTTGCGAAGGGAACTATCACCGCCCCAATGAGCCACTTGATTGTAAAGGCGGCCATTTACGCTATGCGGGACAAGAATTCAGTCACCGACACGCGTTTGAACATGGAGAACATATTTTAATCCGATATTACTAGATATGAAGCTATTCCCTCTAGACACTTCATTATATCAGCCCGACATCGTATATTCCCTAGTAGACAACAACGTTTATCGACTGGACAAAACCGCTAAAGACAGGGCGAGCTTGGGAAATAATTGGGAGTCTAGCAGCTCGTACCTTCACCACGTCCGTGCCAGTACCGCCGACGGTCTTCCGCCCCCTCCTCCTGAATTTTCCTGCCAGATCTGTGGCTTGCCTCACAAGAATTAGGAAAGTCTCCGAGCCCACTATAGGATATATCTGTGATATTACTGGTAATGATCGATATGCGTTCAACGTGGCTTGATTGTGTGTGTGTGTGTAAGACTGGCTCTATAGATTTGAAGCTCTAGCATTTGGGTAAAAATCCCGCATATCCTAGTCCAGTTGGGCACGTGTACGCCCAGTGGATCCCTTAGCCTCTAATACACCCCCTTAGATCTGGTGTACAAATTACGCTAGATCTACCTAGAAATGCCTTGAAATGCTTTGAAATCCTTCTAAAATTAGTTAGAAATAATACTATTCCTAGATTACTTCCTCGTTATGGTAACTTTTAAGCCGTTATTCGTAAAAGTCTTACCCTATTATATTTATTATTATACTTACCAATTCGTTGCCCGAATCTTCCTTTATAGAGTTCTCTATACCTTTCGGGCGGCCTATAGCGATATTTCCGCTACTAAACTCTTGTAATTAAATTTATAGGTGCTATAATTCTACGAGCCCCAACTATTCTATACACTTTAAATATATTACGAGAAGGAGGCTCTTAATAAAACTATTTACAATTTATTCTTTAATTAATATATAGATTACATTTATTAACTTCCTCTCTTACGCTTACTTTAATTAGTATTTATATATATTAACGTATTTAAGTTTGGTTACGAGCCGAACTCCCTCGTTTACAATAAATTATATCGTTTATTTATTAGTATAATTTATAGGCGTAGCCTCTTAATTTTCGAATTTTAAAGTAAGTTCGTTGAAGAAATAGCGAGCGTAAATAGCTTCCTTAACTCTTTAATTAAAAGATAGTAGTTCGGCCTTTGTAAATAAGGTTGTAATTGTATTTTGCTTATTAGTTCGCTAATGGATTATAGCGTTTAGGAATTTAAATATAAACGTTTATAAATTTTTTCGATTAAAAGAATTAATTATAATATGGAAATCCTATTGGTCTTTACTATTTAATTGAAGGGTATAATTTTGAATTATAAGAAGGTAGAGTAATATTCGATTTATAATTATATAATGTACTGGATTAGGATTTAAGTTGAATTGAGTAAGTTTAGAGATTGGGAAAACTACGTTTAGTCGCGACGTAATAGCAATATAGAGAATCGAACCAATTTTGATTTAATATGCGTAAATTTCGTACGGGGCTACGTTATTTTAGTAAGGTAGGAGTTCTTCCTAGTTATAGGCATAGAGTATAGCTTCTTAATATATTTGACTTTCTTTACAATTTTTTAAATATAGTTGCGCTATAATAGTTAAATTAGTTTTTTCTGTCGGTTTCGAATAATTTCGATATTTAAAAATTATTTTAGTAGCTTTCTACCCGTTAATTAATATTTCCTTTTTATAGTAGCTATTATTTCTTTAGTTATAGCGATTTTTTTATTTTTTTATTTATAAATAATAATAATATTATTAACATAGAAGAAGAGGAATATATTATTTTTAATTAAGATATTGGATTTTATAGGGAAAGGGTTTATACTTGTAGTTACGAGGATTTTAATGAGTTTTTGCTATTAGAGGAGGGGAGATTTCTATAGACTATATAATATATGTAGTAGTTAGAATATTTGGCCTTTCCTAGTATATTTAGGAGGAGCCTGTATAAATACTACTTTATTAAATATAATATTAATAAAAGTATTCTTTACGTTATTAAAGCGCCCATACCTTCAACTAGATTCGTCGTGGGCCTACAAGTATCATAGCAGAGATCCACACTAGAGGTCGTAGTACTATAGGCCCACATCGAAACGCGGAAGGCGCGGC